TTTACCTAAAGGGAAATTTAATACGCTTTCTGCGAGAGATAAAAAAAAATTTATTGACAAGCAAAGTTGGTAGATTAAAAAAAACGGATTTATGTGAAAATGAAATAAAATTTGCCATAAATTGTTTATGGGTTAAAATTGATTCAATTGAATTGAATTCCGAGTACGGATTAAGTCAGTAATTATTATAAATGAATGAGTGTATATATTTATGCATATGCCAGCTATATTTAAATATTATCTGTCATTTATTTGAGCGTAGTTTATGCCTAATGCCAGCTTAATATGCGTCTGCACAGTTGTTGGCTGGGCAAATCAATTAACTGTGACATCACACACAAGCGCCTCGGCGTCTTCCACAGCCCTTCGAGCAACAACAATAACAACAATAGCAGCAACAATGACAACAAAAAGCTGCGGTCAGCTATTTGGCATATATGAAAAGTTGACCCGCCACAAAAAGAACCACATTAAATTTTGACATGGGTCCCTTATGTGACCATGTGCCAGGCACATGAGACACTCAGGCCCAGACGACAGTCAAATTTTTTGGACGGGGAGGACGAGGTGTCCAAAGCGCCAGAAAAAGTTTTACACTCGACTCGTTGTTGTTATTGTAGTTGTTGTTGTTGCCCTCTCTAGACCTCGCAGTCGGCAGATGCAAAGGGCAAGGTGGCCAATTTCAGAATGGATTTGTGGCCAACACAACAAACAAGGCCCACTTCACACCACGTAAAGTTTTTAAATATGCATGAACACCTTTTCGGAGACTGAGCATGCGGCTAGGCGGGCTAGGCTGGGCACACACGGCGCATACTTGATAACGCAAAATCTCATTTCAACGGCAAAGGATGTGCTGACTGGAGCAAACTACATAAGGACAGCCCGACTTGCCACTGAAACTGGTGAAACATTGTACATAAAATGTATAAATGATGGCAAAAATAAATGTAAATGTAAACTATGCAAATAAAATGCATATGTATGTACTTAAATATAAATGATATTATAAATATGTAATTAGACAATTTGATTTCAAATAAATATAAATTTGCAAAAAAATAATTTACAAAACAGCATGTTCATCTCGACAGCAAATAAATGATATATTTCGACAGCCTTATGATTTTTTCATTATTTTACTCTATTATTTATGTTGGGTGATAGAAATTTTTAATTAAATTTGTACAGCATTTGACATAGCGTTGCGAAACTTTGTTGCAATTCAATTGAAAGTTTGCTAAACTTCAATGGGATAGCTGTGTGGCTTATCTGTTGGCAGGACGACATCCTCGCGTAGGGAGTGCCGTGTCCTTTTCTTAAGGCAAACGATGGCTGTGCAAATGTGTGCACAAAATTAAAATGTTTACCTTTGTAATGAGCTTAGGTGTTTGATGTCTGAGGCACAGCCAACCGGCATCTTCATCGCTTTGTCCATCAATCAAGCTACAAATGTTGCGTCGCTTTACATTTAATTCCAGACGGTATTCCATTTAAGCAATTCACGGAACTCATATTTAATGCAAACGCAAATCTAAACATAGCTGTATATTACTGAAATTGAATGAAACGGCCCGCTCTCTCTCCCCCTCTGCTGCTCTATTTATCTCTGCCGTGATTGAATGGCAACGGTTGGGGTAGCAAGTACGTCAGGTATTTTAAGTGGCTTTATGCTCGACTTCAGTATTTAAATATATGCTAACCCTTTCTTATACAGTTTGGATTTCGGACCCACATTTAAAGGTCAAGACATCCCAATAGAGCAACTGGTTGGACACGTAGTCCACTTGACAAGTATTTGGCATGCGGCTTGTGATGCGTGCCAAACTGTTTGGCATGCACAACTTGCAGTTGCCAGTGGGCGTGACCAAGCAAAAAAAAAAAAAAAAAAATAAAACAAAAAAAGAAAAGTAAGAAAGCTTTAGTCAAGACTGCTCGACTACGAGATCTCTTCAACTCTTCGAGGGACAAATATTACAGTATAGGTATGGGATGGAAAAGCCAGAAATTAAGGCCGACAATGTAGAAGCCTAGCCTTTAATAGAACTATAGAACAAAAGAGGGTGCTGTCTATACCTGTTAGTAATTGTAAATATCAGTATACTTATTAACCATATATATTTAACTATGCGTAAATTTGGGTGTTTTTATATTAGATGGCTTATATATAAGTCATACATAAGTTATACAAAAGTCTGCCTGTACATCTCTCTCCTTCTCTCTTTCTCTCTCTTTGTCTCATAAACTGGCTCTCCGTCGTTCTCTCTATCTGTTTGCCTAGCAACATCAACGGTTGAAGAAGATCAACAGAAGATCATTTAAGTTTTCTTGAGACTTTTTTATTGTATGTAAATAAGGTTTTGTCGCGTCTGTCTTTGCTCGCTCGCGCTCTGAGCGAGACAGTTAATTCTTCATTCGTTTCGATCTCTTTGTGTGAGCGAAAACCGTAATACTCTTTACGCGATACTCATTTGAGAGCGTCACACGAATGAGTCAATGCACAACGCTTGACAGAAATCGATTCAAAACAAAACAAAGAGAGCCGCTCAGAGCGAGATCGTGTCTGTACAATCTTTTCTTTCGATCAACTCTCATTTGCGAGCTTTGATTTATTTTCAAGAACGATAGCAGCAGCAGAGCGAGTTCCCATTGGTCTCTTAACGCTCAACTGCAACGACTTCTACGAAGCTAGAATGCTCGCAGCAGCAGAGAGGGTTCCCATTGGTCACTTGAAGCTCGACTGATGCGAGCCCTACCTGCCGTCGGGCTCACTCAGGCTTCGAGTGAGCGTCGCCCTATATAAAGGGCAGCAGCTGCAGCATTTCTTCAGTTGCCCAGTCGCCTCGGTCCGGTGGGGGTCGGCTGTGCAGAGCAGTAAATTGAAGTGGGGTGAAAAGTGATCGGTCATCTAAGCATTGAGGACTTGGAAGAAATAATTAGATGAAATACTTGGAAAAAATTTTGGACGAAATACTTAGGGAGAATATTTGGGGAATAAAAACAAATAGAAACACTTAGCCGAAATACTTAAAGAAAATACTTGAAGAAAATACATAGAAGAAATACTTGTTTTTGGTTCAAGGCATACAAAAAAAAATTGGACTTGTTATCTTTAACTTATCGAGAGCTTCATCGTACTTAGCATCGTCTCTAGAGAAGGTGACTCGCTGTGCGTTTGTACCAATGGGTGTGCCTGTGCCTGCGCTTGATCAAAGGATTTAAGTTCTGCGCATTGGTAATGAATGTCAGTTGGTGTTTTTGTTAATTTAAAATGTATTTCCCAGCCACAAAGAAGCACACACAGAACATTTGGCACGCACCTTCAGTTGATTCCCCGTGGTCTTTTATCCTTCTACGGCTGTTGATTTAATTTCACTTTACCCGCACTTCAGCTGTACCATGAGGTGTATTCAGATAGCAGAAACTCGAGCACTGTGAACTTTCATAATTTATTTACTTTTATACAACTATATTAAATTAGTAATATTTATATTCTTCCTTTGTTATATACACATATTATTTGAATTATATTCATTAACCTGTACAGGGTATTCGCTAGTCGTGGACTAATATTATTCTACAGAGTATATCTTTATAGAGCACATGCTTAACCAAGGCTTATACGCCTCGTACCCACCCGGTACACATTTTCCCGTACTCTATATAGCATCCTCGTACGACAACTGTTTATATTTTGTTTAGCCTCGCACAGAGTATTCAAGATATATGGCACAATATGTCACAGCCTGTCCGTAAACTTAAATTGATGAGATATTGAACACATTGCCAAAGAAAGTATAACGAAAGAAGTATAACGACAAACTCTATTCAAGCTCTGACAACTTTTTTCATAACCAATCAGATCTGGCCCGTAGAAGTACATTACAGCAACAAATAGATGTTTAGTTTAAGTTTTATTTTATTTAATACACGTCATAATATTGTCATAATATATATAAAATATAAATTTTAATTACAAAAACAACAAAATTGTGTTCATTAAAATAGTAAATATAACAATATATTAAACTGTATGAATTTCTACCTTTATATTTTTTCAATACTGCTATTTTCGAAAGAGTATGAGAAATTCGGTCTAATGCGGATTACAGATTTTTCTTGTTACTTTTAAGACATTTGCTACACAAAGCAAACGTGGAAAATGTGCTAAAAAGTTGCATGCAGAGCGGACCAGGAACAAAAGTTCTTAACATCATCCTTATTGTTGTTGTCGTTGCTGTTGCTGTTGCTGCTGCTGTTGTTTATTGTTGTTGCTGCCTTTTGCGTGTTTGCGATTTGCTTTTGAAGTCACACACACAAGCTTATACACACATGCAGAGCCACGCGCTACGTGCAACTTGCTAAAATTGCGAGAAAATGGAAATTAAATGAACTTGAAATTGTGAACAGCTCAGATAGATATACATGTGTGTGTATGTATACTTGTAAATATGTGTATATATAAATAAACACAGCGACGCAAGTGCCACTGTACTTCAGCTAGGGTTACGCATTTCTAGTTGCCACACAATGTGGCAGCGTGGCAATGACGTCGCCCCAACTTTTGCGTAGGCGGCCGCGCTAACCCCCAGCGCCAGAGTTTTGCGCCAACAGCAGCCGCAACAAAAAGCAAGAGAAAATCTAACTACTGGCAAAAGCCATCGACAGACGTCAGTTCCCAGACGAAGCGATAGCAGAAGAAGCTTGAAGGTTGAAGTGTTCTATAGTTGGCTTACAATTATATAATACATAATGCTAAATTTTAATGAAAACACATTTTCATCTGCTCATATAGCTCATTAAGCAGCTAAAATATATCTTTACTTAACTCATTCACTACTTATTTACATACATATTATATGATTTCATAACTTTACTATATAATACAAATATAAAATATATAACGAGCATATTCCATGTTATTCAGTTGAAGTTAACAAAATATATGATTACTGAATTTAACAAAAGATTTCTTTTACTATGCAGTACTTTTAATTCATTTTATGTGTATTTTCTGGATATCTCTCTTTTGATTGGTGGAAGTTAAGTGAATATGTTGATGTAAATACAAGCATACATAACTACCATTCACTTACGATTCACAATCAGTAAACTGATTTCGTTCAAGTTGTTTTTGATATTAAAACGGCTGCCTGCAAAGAAATTTAAATATATAGCGTTTCCATATCTCTATTAAAAATCCCTAACTATGCACTTACCTATTTTAATCTCAATGAAATCACCCGATTTCAAGACGTATGTCTGTAAGTTTTCTGAGTCTTTCTGCACCTCAACAACAAACTCCCCAACGAGCGAAAGAAAACGCTGCAGAACCAAACAATAAAATCAGTAAAATATACGTGAGTATACAGATGATGGCTTACCAAGGTATTAGTCTTGTTGCGCTTCATGCCGCGCGCTTGCAGTGGCTGGAAACGCATGTAGCCCATGCCCCACAATTCCTCTGTTTTATAGAAGCTGTATTCAATGCCATCCAAATTAATGAACTTCAAGTCACTCACAGATGCTGCAAAATAAATATTTAATAATTAAGTTGAAAACCTTTAGAATGCAGGCTCCACTTACTAAAGCGTATTATACTGTCGTCACACACATTTCCCGCAATAACTTCAGCCTCCGGTGCCATCTCAACTCCGCGTAGAAAGTTTGCCATCTGCAGGAGTTGTGTTTGGGACGCATCCAACCTAGGCGGCTCAGACACCAGCTCTTCTCCAGACTCCATTTGCTCAGGTAATTGTAAGGCTTCTGCTTGGACTGCGGGTTCAGCTTCTGCTGCAACTTCGCATTCAGTGACTGAATCTGATTTTAATGTTTGGCATCGACTTCTCTTTCGGGCCATTTCATTTTCTATTACACTTGATTTAGGACTGTTGTGTTCTGTTTCTTGCCCCTCCTCTTCTTCAATTATTTCAGGCAGTGGCGAAATTCCCGATTCTCCAAAGTCTTCTTCGGGTTGCCGCTTACGCTTTAGCGGCCTTGTATGGCCGCGCGAAGTCGAAGATGTATTCTCATTATGCGTCGTACTGCTACGAGTGCTTTGGTCTGATTTCGACTTTCCCTTGCGCTTTCGCACACTGGAGTCGATAATCGCGCGCTCAAAAAATGTAGCCTTGAAGGGCTCACTAACGCTGTGAACCCATGTGTTGCGCAGTGGAACTTGGCCGCGTTTTGATTTGCGTACTCCATCTACAAAGTGAAAAATAGGTTGTAATTATCAATATCATTCACTCAAGACAACTTTAATAATAGAGTTAACTAGCTACTTAAGCAATCAATCATTGAGTCGAATCAAGTTGGAGCTCTTTCTTACTTGTTACATCATTAGTGTCTGTTTCATCGTTCAGCGGTGGCAACGTCTGATCTCCTGTTGTTATGCGTAGATTTTGCAACTCTCTGCTTAAGCTTGAAGCCCTTTTACTAACTCTTGGTGCCGGTAAGGTCGGTTTCTTAAATAGACTCTTGTCTCCTGTGGATTTTTTTGGTCTGGAATTTGGTTTCACTTTCTTCTGTTGCCGAATGCTTGACAATATTAGAGCTTCTCGAGCCGCTTTGCTGGTGCTCGGTTGCTCGTCAAACTCAAGGGCTGATGATGGTGGAGTTGGTGTTTGCATGCGCAGCTCCTCCATATAGCTGCTACTACTGTCTTGAGCCGACGGCAGCAGTATATTATCCGTTCCTTTAACAACTTGAGGATGGTCCAATGATTCTGCTTGGTTTTGTTGAATATCCTCTGAGCTTAGCACCTCGATGGTATCCTCAAAAGACGTGTGCATTAATCGATTCGAGCCTGCTGGAGGCAATACAACTGATGCATTCCTTAGAATCCCAGAATCTTCAGCAACTTTTGTGCCCTGTTCCCCTTGCTGCTCCAAAGAGGATCTGCGTACCTGACGCGAGTACCGAAGGGACTCTGGTGGAGGCGGCACAATTTGTATATCATCTATAATCATGGCGCAAGAGCTATGACTTTGCTCTGCAGCAACATTCTCAACATGCTCGGCTACGGCAGTATCGTTTGGCGGAAGTTGACTTTCTCGTAAATTGCGCGAATATCGTAAGGATAGTGGTGGGGGCGGCACAATAGGGATATCTTCGACACCCTTGCTGTTGCCTAGATTCAGCGGTGGAGCAGATGCTATCTTTATGCTGTCAGTGGTTTCGCCATGTTGCGCCAGCAGGGGCTGCGATCGATCATCCTCGATATCCGAATCACCCTTTGTGTACAGACTGCGCTTAGTCTCGCTCTTGGCGTTCTCCTTCAGTCTCTTCCTAATAGTGGTAGGCAGCTCCAGATAGTTTTGCAGCTCAGTAGTCTGTGAAGCGAATTCAAATTTTAATAAAAATGAATAATTGACAACTACAGTTCGATTATCTTACAATGGGTATGCCTCGGAGCCTGGAGCGCGATCGTCGTGGCAGCTGAAGCGAATCCTTAGGCAACTTTTGAGTAGATGCTTTATTTTTGATTCCATTCTGCGCCACATCTGGTTGTGGAGGGGATTTATTAACGTTCTTTTGAGCAGTCAATTCTGGACTGGTTGCAGTCACTTTGCTGGGCAAGCCATCGCCCCGACCGCTCAGATTACGACGCAGCATTTCCATTTGTATGCTCTGCTCCAAAGCCAGCTGCTGTTCCTTGGTGAACACTTGTTGGTGATGGATTCTGCCCAGAGAGTTTCGTTTTCGCAAATCGAGAATCTCGTTGTTGGTCATACGCGCAAGCTCCTCTGCAAACTCTTCCCCATTGATGGCCTGCAGAACTGGCTTATTTAGTGGAGGCTGATTCGTCCTCTGGACACGCCGCTCTGGTGAAGCATTCCTGCGCGTACGATGAAGATCAAGCAACTGGGTCGTCTTCTCCTGGCTTTTATCTTGCTTTTGCCGGAGACTTCGCCTGGTTTTGTTGCCAACGGCAGGCGCCAAGTTGAGCGGAAATGCACTTTCCTCAACCCCAACGTCACTCTCCTCCAAAGCTCGGCTCTTACTCGCAGTATCTACACTTTCCGGTATGCACGAAGTTTGGATGCCACAACTAACAGCAAGCGGCGGCGTTATTGATCCGACTGCGTTGTCCACATGTTGAATATTCTCCTGCACTTGAGTTTCAGGCACAATATGCTCCGACTCTGTCTCCACAGGCTGAGAGGCTAACGCTCTAGTTGGTGTCTTGTTCGATGATGACTGCGTTCCAGACACAATCCGATCGGACCCTAACGCAAGATATTGTGGCGCTCGTCTTGAATCTATATACGGCAACGAACGTCTCAGACGTACATGAGGCTGTCTACTAGTAATGGAGTGCAGGCGACTAGTCAATGGCGAAGTTGTAGTCTTCGTTGGCTTCTGTCCCATATTTGTGTCTTTCTTAGTGGGTGAGCACGATTCCAGGTCTTCAGGCCCACTTGGCTTTTCTATAACAAAGGTGCCCCGGCGATTAGCGTCTGTTGGTTGGTGTGAATCGGTTTTCGAGCTGGGCTGCTGTTCTGGCTCACTTATCCGTTCGTTGTCAGAAGTACCCCTGGCTGGTTGAGCTCGCACGCTTTGACGCGGTGAATGCGTTAGGCTTTCTTCAAAAGTCCCCTCGAAATCAGCATGATTCAACGCAGACTTCGGGGTTGTCGCCGCGGCTACCAAGTTCGTACACTGTGGGAGTTGCACTTTTGCCGGTTTCTCCAAAGCAGGCGTACTACTTACTTTGGGCAGCTGTAAGGGGACCTTTTATTAGTATATTGTAGTAAAAAAATAAAGGAAAAACTTACAAAAGCGAACGATCCCGATGTTTTTTGTGTCTCGTTGACCACAGTACAAAGATCTTCTTGCAGACAATGTCGTAAACGATTAACATGAGAGCCTTTGCTCACAACCAAATCATCCGAAGTATTGCAGTCCCTATCGGCTTCGCTACTTTGCTTAACTGGAGAGCAGTTGAGCTGAGCCGGCAATGCACTATTTTTATTCTCATCTGTTGGTGATTTGGGGCTTTCTAATTTTGGTTGCGATTCGATCACTAAGTGCGGTACATTAGATGTATTGGAGTTATTACACGTGTCACGTAGGGGTCGGTTATTTGCTACGTTTTGTGAACCTTGATGCTGAGTCTTCTGCTGATTTTCATGCTGTTGTTTCTGTTGTTGTTGTTGTTGTTGTTGTTTTTCTGGCAGTTTGATCAAATCAACGTCTATATCAAATGACACATCGTAGCCACCAAGCACATACTGGGGACTGTTTTGCTTTGGTGCGGTTTTCTTTTTTAGAAAATCTTTAAATTTATTCTCATCCGGATTGTCCGCATTTAAAATGTCTTGCAATTCGCTTAGTGTTGTCTCACTTACTTTTGGCCTGCAAAAGGAACAAGTTTACCGTATGGAATTTTTGTTTTAGTTACAACACTTACATATTTGAGATCTGCTGTATGCGTCCAGTGGTTTTGAAATTTATTTTTTTAATATTTCGTATTAGAATTTAAATGAAATGTTTAAGCGACGCGTAGCAAATGATGCGCGGTGTTTACTACGTACGCGTTGCACAGCACTGCACGACATTGCGATAAGTGTATCGATAATATATCCGCGATATTTGTGATGGAATGACACAGGCAATGCCAATGCATCACGCTGTTCTCTGGCTATATACGTTATTGGGTGTAAACATTTGGCGCTCAGCGCAATGAATTTCGATGGCATCAATATACCCCGAACTCTAGTGCCCCATAACTATTTACAGCTGGCACTAGCAGCGCGGCGAGGCAGCCAGCGACAAGTAAAAGAACTGCTGGAAAAGGTACATAGTTAAAATGAGATAATTTAAACAGAAGCATACATCACAGATAAGATTTTTTTTTTTGCAGCGTAAATTGCCTGAGCTAGGCTGGCGGGATGAAGAGATCGAGCAGCTGGTGCACCAGCTGGCAGCACTAGACAGCAACAATTTTGCACACAATGTGGGCCTGGGTGAGCGAGAGGCACGTATTGCATGCAGTAAGTAAATGGCATGCAAATTCAAAATTGTAGACATTAATCGGGATCTGATTCGTTCAGAACTTGTAGCGCGGAGACATTATAACTTTGGTCACGGCATTGGCCGGTCGGGAGATTTGCTGGAAGCACAGCCAAAGGCAGCCGGCTCAACATTAATGGCCAATCTGACAAACGCTATGCTTTTGGATCTGTTGCATCTGCTGGGCCTACAAAGCTGTCACGGATGCTTTCTAGTTCCCTTGGCCACCGGCATGACGCTGACCTTATGCTTACAGGCGCTTCGCAAAAGTCGGCCGAGTGCAAAATATGTTCTCTGGTCACGCATCGATCAGAAATCTTGCTTCAAAGCAATCACAGCCGCCGGTCTGGAGCCCATTATAATACCCCATGTAGTGCTGAAGGAGGAACAGGCATTGGCCACCGATTGCCAAAAGTTTGAGCAGCGCATCCAAGAACTGGGTGCCGACAACATACTCTGCCTGTACAGCACCACGAGCTGCTTTGCGCCGCGCAATTGCGACAACATTGTGGAGCTGGCACAACTAGCCAAACGTGAGTCTGTACCGCATCTCGTAAACAATGCCTATGGACTTCAGTGCGAGGCAATTACCAGCCAGCTGGAGAGAGCACAGCGCGTCGGTCGCATTGATTACTTTGTCCAGAGCACGGACAAGAACCTAATGGTGCCCGTTGGCGGCGCCATTGTGGCCGGCTCAGATGCTCAGCTCTTACAGCAGCTGGCCAGCAGCTACGCGGGTCGAGCGAGCAGTTCCCAAACACTGGATGTATTCATGACGCTGCTCTCACTGGGTCGCAATGGCTATCAGACGCTGCTGCGCGAGCGTCAACAAAACTTTGAATATCTCAAACAGCGATTGCAACAATTTGCCGCAGAGCACAATGAAATTGTGCCACAATGCAAAAATAATCACATATCACTAGCACTCACGCTAAGTACACTCAACGAGGTAGACAACAGCATCACCCAACTGGGCGCCATGCTTCATGCACGGGGCGTCTCCGGCGTACGCGTCGTAAACGTTGGGCAGACTAAATCCATTGATGGCCATGAATTCAAACGTGCGTAATCAAGAAAAAAAAATAAAACAGGCAATGTTATATTAACTCATTTTCCATTTTAGATTTTGGTTCGCATCGCGAGCTGCTGCAGACACCGTATTTAACAGTAGCTGCGGCTCTGGGCGTACATCGACCGGAAATAGATAAGTTTTTCGCAATATTGGACAAATGCTGGACGCAGTATAAGAAAACATCAGCTTAGCATTTCAGAGATGCTAACTATAAACTAACAACAATTATTCTGGATGCGTGAAAGAAAATAACCAGCTTGGGACTTGGAATGCTTGCATTGTATTATAAATATTCTCTTCTAAAAAGTGCACATAAAAAAAACAATTGTTTGTATGAGTATCTTAAGAAGTCTAACTATAAACAAATGATCTAAACATACGTCCTATATTTGGATTATATTTAATGATTGTTTGGCTCGTTCTCTTTGTCATTAGCATTTCGCTTTTGATGGTGACGATCGCGACTCTTTCGCCGGAGATGCTGCTGCATAGTCGCCTCGATTTGGGTGAGCGAGGTCTGGTACTCGAGCTTAATGCGCTCGTACTCGCGCTTCATGTGCGCCTCCTTGTCCTCCGCATAGATCTTGTAGTTGTGGGCGGTGCGCTTAGCGCTCTGATATCGCTGCTGGGCAGCGCGCATAGCCTCCTCGTGGGTCTCACGCAGCGTCTGCACCTGGGCGCGCCAATGCTTTTCTACCTGCTCTATGGATTGCTTTTGCTTGTCCCATTCATTCATGACGGCTTTCATGGAGCGACGCTCGGACTCGATGCTCGCATGCTGCTCTTCCAGTTCGCGCAGTAAATCCGAAATGCGCTGATTCTTTGCCTGCAACTCACTGCGGCACTTGTGCACAATTTGCTTCTGCTTCTCCTCCTGTTCGCCCAGCAGCTGCTGCATTTCCTCACGTTCAGCCAGAATAGTTTGCTTTAGTAGATCCACCTCTGTCTGGCGCTGCTGCAGATCGCGACACACCAGCTGATACTCACGCTGCAGGCACAAGCTGCGCTCCTCCGTCTGCTGGACGCGCTGTGTAAAGCGCTTCAGCTCGGCTGCAAATAGCTTGGCCATCTCGTCACGCACACGCTGCTCGATGTGCTTGATCCGCGCCTGCGTTAGCTCTGGAGAAGCGTGTGGCTCGCCACTACCATCCGCTGAGTAAGTTGTCACCTGCTTGTTGGGACTGCGCTGCTCGCCCAGTTTGACTACCTCCTGCTGCAGCTGGGCCTCATAGAGCTGCACCTTGACCTTTAGTTCATTTAACGACTTCTCCTGCTCCAGCATCTGATGCACCTTTTTCTCCAGGTCAGCTCGCAGTGCCTTCGACTGCTCCAACTCATTGCGCAGATCATCCAGCTCCTTCGATTGCATGGAGTTCAAATTTTGCAGCTTCAGCATTTGGATTTCAATCTGTAAGGAAATATGCGATTCGGATGCGGCACATATTGATGGATTATCTTTAACTTTACCTTTGTAATCTCAGCTAGCTGATCGTTGCACTTAGTGCAATGACTGGAGCTGTCCTTGGTCGCTTTGTCCAACTCCTCTTGCTTCTCTCGCTCCCATTTTTCACGCAGCATCTCGAGATCGCGCTCGTGGCGCAGCTTGACTGTTTCCAATATTTTGTTTAGTTCTTGCGCCTTAATCTCCGCTAGCTCCACATTCCGTTGAAGCTGGGCGATTTGTTGTCGCTGTTCCTGCAGCTCCTTGATGCTATCCGTTTCGCTCAGCTTGCGTAGCTGATAGTTGAGCGTCTCCTTTTCATTGGCAATGTCCGCGTAGAGCGCCTTCACTCGCTGCACCTCGCCCTGCGCATCCTCTAGCAAGATCTTGTACCGCTCCAGATCCAAGCGTAAATTGTCGGCAGTGGGTCGAATGCGCAGCTGACGATTCTCCTCCGCCAACTCGTCGTGTTGACGGCTGAGCTGCTCATGCTCCAATTTTAGTTTGTCCAAATCTAGCTTCGCCTGCTTCAGCTGGTTGTCAAGTCGTTGCCGCTCGGCTGTCTGCGAGATCGTTTGCTGGTGCAGTGCATCATTTTCGGCCAGCAACGCATCCATGTCAGCTTTCAGCTTGGACACATTAAGCGAACTGTTGTGGTGATGTTCATCTAGCTGCTCTTGCAAGCCTTTAAGGCGAGTCTCTAAACGTGCCTTGTCCTCCTTTAGGTTGGCCATCTGTACCAGAGTTTTATTCTCCTCCTCACGGAGCGCGCGAAGCTCGTTGGACCGCTCGTCCAGCTGTTTCTCCAAGCGACGCACCTCCTCACGCTTGTTTTTCAAACTGCTTAGCGCTCGATACAGTTCCTGCTTGATGTGACCCATGCGATCGGTGGGATTTAGAGGCGTGCTACCCATCAGACGTGATGGCAAACGACTTGGCGAATCGGTCTCCGATTGATGCTGCTGTATCAGCGTATCCATCATATCCATTTCCTCTGTAGTGCCATTGAGACGCTCAGTTAGCTGGGCTATCGTCTTGTCCATACTGGCCACCTGTGCACGCAAATCCGTAATGCATTGCTGCTGACGCACATTCTCCGCCTCGTAGCTGGGCTTGGCAGCCAGCTGTTGACAGCGTCGTTGAGCCACATCGAGCGCCGAATTCAACTCATTGATTTTTTCCGCCTTATCGAGCAGCATGGACTCGTGGGTGGACTGCAGCGCATTGTATCGAACATTCATTTGTTCAAGCTCCTGCTTCTTCTTGTCCAGCTGGTCGCTTAATTGGTTTACTCGCTGTTGCATTAACTCAATCTGGGCGCGTTGATTCTCCTCCAGCTGCTTAATACGCATATCAGTGTTACGATCATCTCGCTTGTGCTGGTCCCGCTCGACCATATCATATTTCCGTTGGACATCGGCGAGCAGCGTCTGTGCTGTCTCCAGCTTGCCAACCAACTGAGTGTTCTCCGTCTCTAGCGCACGCTTCTCGCATCGCAGCTTCTCAATATTATTGTCCAGATTCGAGCATTTCTCCTTGCTATCCACGAGCAGCTCATGTGTGTGCTGCTTCTCACAAAGCGCACGCTCCAGCTCCGCTTGCGTGATAGTCAGACGCTTTTGGAACTCGTCAATTTTTTTATGTGCTTCCTTTGCCATCTCGTTGACATTATTCAGTTCGTGAGTCCTTGACTCTAATAACATCTTTAACTTATGAATCTCGCCGGCATTTGCATAGTCCGCTTGCTGTTGCTGTTGCTGTGGGTGTTGGTGCTGATGCTGGTGCTGCTGCGGCAGCTGTGCGGGCTGCATTGGAAGCAGGGGTAGCGGCTGCCCAGGTAGCATATCAGAGGGGAAATTACTTGTCGTATCTATTGTGCTCTCTGAGTCGTCGTCATCTAAATCATCAAAAGCGTTTTCCAATAAATTACCCAGCTGCAAAAAATTAAATTAAATTAAATGAAAACAATTTGTAAATTTAAGATACACTCGGCAACGAATGAAATGTCAGCACATACCTCCGCTTCTCGGCGTTTTTGATCCTGCAGTGCTTCCTCCTCTTCCTGACGTTCCAAAGTTGAATTTACCTTCAGGGTATCAGCGCCCTGAAACAAACTAACGCCAGGCGTGTTCATTTTGCGTCCGTTCACAATCAATTTAAATTTGAATTTGACCTAATGGCGCAGGCGCTGTTTTCTTCGTTCTTTCTTTCTTTCTTTTTTGTAGGTTCTCAAGATAAGTATGCAGCTCAAGACATTTGCTAGCTAACAAAAAATTACCCTGTTTGCAACTGTTGCTTGGAAAGGCGCCAAAACAAATGTTGGTGTAATATTCTCACTGATTTCTCGATATTATATTGAAAACAGTGCGATGCGTTGATATTTTGCTCAAAATACAATTACTCTTTTCCTTTGATTAGCATTCCACAGCACTGTAGCTGTACTGCCGAGCGTGCTATATGTGGCGGTTGGTCGATTACAACAAATTTATGTTTCCCTGTTATCGATGAGGTGAATGATGCCAACATCGAACATCACTCCAGTCAGATATTCGTTAAATTCGAAGAGAAAATGAAAAACACATCAATTTGTTTTTGCTTTTTTCAAATTTTTTCAGTTTTATTATTATTATACAGACTGTCCATTCATAAACGCACTTATATTGGGACATTTATCTAATTTCTCGGCATCTATATGGAAAACCTTGGACAAACGTTTCCAACTTTGCGCATCAAAGTAATAGAAGGTGCCACGCTCTTTTGTACCATTTTTTTCATATTGATTAATGCCAGGAATTCGAGTTATCCATATTTTCTCCTCAACATGATACCGCCACTCACGACTATGCCTATATGTATATAAAAACAAAACAAAGCTTTGGTTTCAGATAACTGAAAATCCAGATATAACGAAACTTACAATTCAGCAGCTGCCATCAATTGCATTATATCACCGATATTCGTATAGAACAGGAAAAACAGCAGATCCTCTTGCAGCTTTTTCAGTACCGGCGCTGTGAGCTTATCTCTAATCGCAAAATTGATCAGATATTCGGGTGGCACGCTGTACTCCACGTCTTGTGCTCTTTTATAAAAAGGAGAAATATTAAGGTTTGTTAGAATGGGTTACAAATTCGATCCGAATGGGTAGCTCGCTCACCTGCAGGGTTGTTCCACGAACGGTCCTGCGAATGTTGGATGCAAACTCTCCTGTGAATTAAGATTTAAGCCCAGGCCCGTTAGATCCGTGCCCAACGACAGTGTCACCAGATTGGGATCCGTTTCAGCTGCTCGGATAAACGTTAGCAGACCCACCATGCCAAACTGATTGTTCACCATGCTCGCTGGTATATTTGTGACCTTGCCTGTATTTACGAATTGCGGAGAACCGAATTTGATTAGAAAATGTACTGCTAGAGATCCTTCTCATTTTAGGGTACTTACCATCTGGCGATGTTTGCACGCCGCTCTTCACAAGTTTATCATTGCTGGAATTATCGTTCATATGCTCGCCGCCTGCTCCACTGCTTGTGGCGCTACCGAGGCCGCCGCCCATCATAACATTGTTGCCGGTAACACTGTTGGCGCCACCGCCTCCACCTGTGCCTCCTACTAACCCTACATGCGTCGCGTTCACCACACCGCTCGACCCGCTGCTGTTGCCACCACCACCGCCAACAACAGCGCCGCCTAGACCGCTTCCAACGGCGCCATGACCATTTCCACCAACGCCCACAGCGCCGGAGCTGGCCGAACCGCCGCCGCTGACCACAATTGAATTCATTGCCTTTTCCGTGCCATCCAGATTATTGTCTGTGACACCGCTTCCACTTCCTCCTCCGCTACCACCACCAGAAGCGCTGCCAACGCCGCTGCTGCTACCCAACGTATTCGTTGTGCCATCCGAATTTTGGGTGCCCGGTAACGCAGGAAAGTCCTCGTTCGACATTGTAAACTCCGATTGCTCTGACGTTGGTTGCTTGACCATGCCAACTGAAAGTAATTCCAAATACCATCAGTTCATTTGTTAAACTTAATTAAGAAACAGGTATGACAACCTGTTTCAGTGTACAGGGAAACCATCATTCCAACACCAGTAAGCAATGAGTAAATAAAAACTAAGTTAAGATTCACACAATGATTCGATAGAACTGAGTTGGTTAAAAGAGAAATGAAGAACGTTTACATCCTCTATAAGTTACAAATAACAATTAACATAATAAAAACATAAGACTACATTGAACAAATAGATCAATATATAAGCAGAGCCAACCGCAACCAATTATACCATTAAATAAACAGAAATTAATTTAAAAAAAGGTGGATTTTCTTTTTGAACTCACAAGAGGTAAAGAAATTACCGTAGGGTTTGCTGCCCGGCGGCTGGAGGGTATTCGATTGGGGCAGTGTCTGATCGTTCTGGCCGCGCGCATTCGTCAGCGAAGGGAACTCTGTGGGATCGAGCAGCGCTGGCGTTGCTGCGTCCGCCCCGCTGCCACCTCCGAATACATGAAAGTTATTTAAGGGGCCTCCACCTCCACCACCGCCTGTGCCATATCCACCACGTCCGGATTGCATAAAGTTTCCCATGTTCGACTGTAACGCAAATATACAACAATAATGTTTATAGACGTGTAATTGATATTATCAGTGTCATCATCGCTATTTACCATGGGCCCGCTGCCCAAACCCTGCATGGCACGACGTTCCACAAACGGCCGTTGGCCAAATAGATTCGCATTGCGATTGCCAGTCGATAACGCGGGACCACCCACCGATAACTGCACATTGCGATTCGGCGATAGCTGAGGCGGCTGTTGCGTTTGTTGACCATAATTCGCAGCGCCGGGATAAGAGGTGCCGAAATCTAAATAAAAACAAACAAAATTCAAATATGAATATTCAGAAATTCGCTAGCTAAGTTGCCACTTACCGGTTTGGAACATGCCGGATGTGGGGGTTACATGGCCAGACATCGAGCTACCACCAAAGCCCCCCGTTGTGCGGCCCGTTAAAGCCGCGTTTGCTATGCTTCTCGGAGGTTGTTGAAAATTTAAATTCGCCATAATCTGGAGAAGCAGAAAAAGAAATTATTTTGTGTACTAGTCTTATAAACATTTATGCTGCCTAATTACGATAATTTCCATAAACAACTAACTGATAGTATGTTATCGATTATAAAAATAGTGATTTATGTATTTGAATTGCGTATTTATGTTGTCCGCTAATTGCATTTAATTAGCAGACTCAAATCCGTTATCGATAACAAAGCTAGCCCCAAAAGATGAAAGCATTTGACTGTCATAGAACATCATCGTGATGCAGTCGTGACGTGTTTTGGCGCGCACAAAAATTGGTATACATATCAGCCAATTGGACAACAACATCAACAAATCAAGCAAGGCCGGCTGTTGTTTATCACAAAAGTTGCTGCAGCTGAGACAGACAGAGAAAGAGAGTGAGAGAGGGCCATTAAATATTTATATATGTAGATGCATACATATGTACGCGAGCGAGAGGTCTGTGTCGCTGACTCAGTTAGATCAAAGAGAGAAAACAGAACCCAAATCCCGCACATTTGATAACAAAATTCTGAGTGCAGATAATTATTGTTGCGCGTTGAAAATAACGCAAACATATGCTTATAAATAAATATAAACAAGACAGATGGCGAACTACTCAGTTGCGCTGTCTGGCTTTAGCGTTGGCTTTGCTTTTGATTGTTTTTTTCTTTGTTGATTTTTGGGGGCGGGTTTTTATTAATGCGGCTTCAATAAAGCCAAGGTCGCTTGAAATTTTTACGTAACTTTTGTCTCAAAGGCAGCAGCGATAATCAGATGTAATCAAGTTGTAACATCTATAATATTGGAGGCGATAATAGTGAAATTGAATTCAGAATATAACACTAATTTAGATTAAATGGCCGCACGAATATCAACAGCTGTAAAAAAGCCACAAAAATGAATGGACACAGACAGTACATAAAAGAAGCACACACAAACCGGTATAAATATCACTCAGACAAGACGTAGGATGCTCTCTCTGTGGACTCTACGTAAAATGGCACACAAAAGAACGCACAAAGGTAGATGAAAAAGGACGAAAATATATTTGTGTGAGTTGGTGTGATCGTGTACATGAGTGTGACTGTATGTGTATGTGTTTGTGCATACAATAAAAGATGCTACTTGTTTGTGTGTTGCTGATCTACTGAATTATCTCTGCCTGCACTTGTCTGCACCCAGCCCATTATTTATTTTCTTGCTCCTTTTATATTTCGAGCACCTTTTCGTGCGCTCTTAGATGCTTCTCGATTCGCTTGCTTTAACTTGCCAGATTTTGATTTGCCGATGACTTTACAGCGTCGTTGAGATGCTGATCGCTCATTTATTCGTTCAATCGCTATATGTGTAACTTCATCAGCTGACCAATTTACGATTTGCAACACTGATTTCGTTTACAACAAAATTCAGCGAATTCGACTATGGCCAATTAGTGTCTAGGGCTAGCCTTGAAAATCAAACTTAAGCAACAAATATACGTATGAACTGTGATCGAATGCGAAATGCTGAAAATTGTTAGATTTTTACAGAACACTTACCTAAATGAACGATGGATGATAATGCTGCTGCTTCTTCCTCTTCTGCCACTGTTACTGCTAATGCTTTCCGACTACTGCTGTTACCAACAACATACACTGAATGGTTTGTTCTCACCGCATTTAACATTCCAAAGCGACTGGGACGTTGTTGTTGTTGCTGACGCTTGCGTCGTCGTTTCGTCAGATGCTGCACCAACTGACGCTTATTATTTGTGAACTTGAATATATGTATGCTGATCACTCGATTCAGTTTGTTTTACTGTTACTTATAAATGGCACTCGTCGCATATACACAACGGCACACGGGCAAGCAGGATATACACTCACATACACACGGTCACCCACACGAGGATGAAGATGATGCGCAAAGTGTAACCCCAACGTGAGGAGAGAGGTTAGTTGGTATTTTTCCGCGCCGTATCGTCCCTAAATATATTGCACATATATATACAATATATGTAAATATATATGTACGCACGTACACTCACGCTATGTATTGGTAACTGTGTATTGGTGTACTTTACTTCGTCGTGCCTACCCGAGAGCAGGAGTACCGAAGGTTTTTTTTATACGCTTTTCCCCCCTTGCCAAGCAGCGCAAAGCGGCGACTACAGAATTTTTAACTACTGCAGTGTCGTCCGTTGCGAAACGTCCATTAATATTTTTTCCTTCCAATGTCGTTTTGCTTAGTTCAGCCTTTTTTCTGTTAGTTTGCCTTGGTTGATATATATTATGTTGGTTTTATTTGTAAGTAAATAATTGCTTGCTATTGCGCTGTTGCCACTGCTTCTTCTTCCTTCACTGATTCCACAGAATGTGTGTGTGTGTGTGTATGTCTCTGTCTTTGTTTTCTCAGTTCATTGAAATTTCACCCGAACGCGAATTTGGGGTAAATTCGCTTCGCGATTTGCGCACCTTTTACGCCACGCAGAAATCAACGCACGTTTTTTCAAAATAGACAAATGCCTATTTATTGTATATACAATAATATAAATGGCTTTTGAGCGCTCGAAAAACGCTTAAAATGTACACAAAATACGTTCCGCAAAAAACTTTTGTGGCTCGTCACATACGAATACAAATACACAAAAGACGGAGATAGATGATGGTTATCGGTGCAGCATTGTTATCGATAGTGGCGTTCATAGCAGCAACGGCAGGGTTGCACATACCGATTTAGGCCTGCTATACACGACGAGCTGTTCATAAATGCGGTATTTAAATAAAATATAAAATATGCTTATAAAGAAATAATAATTTGGTTAGAAGAGCACGGGCATCTGTTTAATTAGTTATATCCGGCTATTTTTAATGAAGTATATGAATTGATTGAACGAAAAATTTGTCTGCACGTGCCTGAGCCGCATAATTTGCTATTCGCATTTGTGGCACTGTCAATTTATTCGCTTGAAATAAGATTACTTTAAAACATGGGTGATCGGAATTCAGATGATGAGAGTGGTAAGTACACTATTAAATACTTAGATGCACCAGCTGTACATAAATGGCTTTTAAAGGTTCTGGATCCGGTTCCAGTCGAAGTGGAAGCCGTAGCCGTAGCGTCACACCGCAACGCAGTGCACCAGGGTAGGTTTTTACTTATTTAAGGATTATAAGTAGCCTGTCAACATTATATTATTAATGACATATTACCCTTATAGTTCGCCCCGCAGCCACAAGTCTGGCAGTGGCAGTGACCGTTCACGCTCTGGATCTAGAACCTCGCGATCACGCTCTGGCTCAGGCTCGCCGCATAGTGCACGCTCCGGTTCCGCAGCAAGTCGACGCTCGCGCTCGGGCTCGGCTCACAGTCCACGCTCTGCATCTCCACACAGCCAGCACTCTGGCTCACCTGGTAGCAAGCGTTCACATTCCCGTTCCCGTTCACGTTCCCATTCTCGTTCCCGCAGCGGCACACCTCATAGCAAGCACAGTGGAACGCCGCATAGCAAGCATAGTGGCAACGAGGACTCCCGTTCTAACTCCCCCAATCTGCAAATTGATGATCAGCGTGCCAATTCAAAAAGCAAGAGCCGCAGTCGCAGCGGCAGTCGTACTTCAAGGTCTAAATCTAGATCTCGTTCCCGTTCACACTCCCGCACTAAGTCGGGTACACCTCATTCGGGTCGCACTTCACGTAGCCGAAGTGGCTCCGCTTCTGGATCGGGTAGTGATATTGGCGTGCCCAAGAAGAAGCCACGCCGTCAAAGCAATTCGGATAACGAAAAACCTGATGGCGACAACACATCGCCTTCAAAAGCAAAGAAGGCACGGCTGATTGATTCTGATAGCGATGAGGACGAGCCGGTAGGTCAATGAGGGCTCCCTGTCTACAGAAATCGTATTTATTTCTGCTTTGACTATTTGCAGCCAAAACCAGCACCAGCTGCATCTGATATTTTTGGTGATGCGGACGACATCAGTGACGACGAGGACACAGCGGCCGCTGCGCGCAAATCCCCGGCGGGGAGCCTAGGTCGGTCGCGCAGCCGTAGCAAGAGTAAATCACGTTCACGCAGTCGCTCAGTAAGCCGATCACGTAGTCGTTCGCGCTCGCGCTCTCGCGATGCAGAGCCACGTCAGGCCGTGCCCAAGGAGGATGAGCCGGAACCGTTGCCAGAGACGCGCATTGAGGTGGAGATACCGCGTATATCTGCCGATCTGGGCAAAGAACAACATTTTATTAAGTTGCCCAACTTCTTGTCTGTGGTCACACATCCCTTCGATCCGGAGACGTACGAGGACGAAATCGACGAGGAGGAGACCATGGATGAGGAGGGCCGGCAGCGCATCAAGCTCAAGGTGAGCAACACCATACGCTGGCGCGAGTATATGAATAACAAGGGCGAAATGGTGCGTGAATCGAATGCGCGTTTTGTGCGGTGGTCCGATGGCAGCATGAGCCTACATCTGGGCAACGAGATCTTCGATGCGTATCGTCAACCGCTGGTGGGCGACCACAATCATTTGTTCATCCGTCAGGGCACGGGCTTGCAGGGTCAGTCTGTGTTCCGGACCAAGCTTACCTTCCGACCGCATTCAACTGAGTCGTTCACACACAAGAAGATCACCATGTCGCTGGCGGATCGATCGACCAAGACGAGCGGCATTAAGATACTCACGCAGGTGGGCAAGGATCCCACTACAGATCGCTACTCGCAACTGAAGGAGGAGGAGGCCAAACTGCGCTTGGCCATGCGCACCCAACACAAGGCGCAGCCCAAGAAGAAAAAGGCTGGGGCCGGCGAACCACTCATCGGTGGCGGCGGCAACTCGTCCTATCAGCACGACGACGGCAGCGACGATGAGAATGCAATCAGTCTAAGCGCCATCAAAAATCGTTACAAAAAGGGCGCCAGCGGCGGCCAGGCGGAGCCAAAGGCCTCAACCATTTACTCCTCAGACGAGGACGAGGGCTCGGACTTTGAGGCGCGTCGCAGCAAGAAAGTAAACAAGGCAAAGGCCAGCAAAGCACTACGCGACTCCGACAGCGAATCTGACGCCGGCAGTGGCAAAAGCAACGACCGCCCGGCAGGTGCCAATAGTCGCAGCGGCAGCGGTAGTGGCAGTGGCAGCGACAATGAAAGCCGTAAATCAGGCAGCGGCAGTGGCAGCGGCTCCGGTTCCGGCAGTGGCAGTGGCAGTGGCAGTGGAAGCGGCAGCGATAATGAATAGTTTGTGAATGAAAGAATGAGAAATTGAATGTGTTCCATAATATGCATAAGCATTATGGAATCCTGAGCACTAGGTTAAATATCTGTTTCAAATAAGTTCTTTAAGGAAAATAAAAGGACGTCGCCCAAAAACTGTCTTTTAATTTGTCGATTATTGAGAAAATATACAAATATATCAATATACTGTCATGAGAGTTATATCTTCACTCTGATAGTTAGTACCCAAATGATATTATTAAGAAGAATTTATATTATATAAGATAATGCTTATTAGGAGGCCCTAATGTCCCATCGAGTTCCATTGTGGGATTTGTATTACTCCTGGATAGTTGAAATTTGCCAACACGAAAAAAGAATCTCCGTAAAATAAGTGAATATTCGATAACCCGATATATTAATTAGCCGTAATGCAATGCTAGTTTTTTCTATATATATTTTTCCATAAATTATTGCTTAAATAACCTTTTTTACACAATTAGTCTATGCCGCGTTCAACAGGCGACGTTTTCAACCCAAAATACATAATTTTTATATTTGTTACATTTTTTTTGTTTACTTAGTTATATATATCTACAACTGCAATGCTTTGAATTGAATGTTTAAAGGGGATCTCTCTCTATATATATAGGTACACGTTCTATACTATATTCTGCATTGGTTGAAACGGATTTATAAATATTCTTGTATATATGTAAATATAACTCTAAAAAAAGTAGTTACAATATTTTTCATTCTGATTTGTAAACAAATATTCGAGTTTCATAAATATCATAAATTATACATTTTGTTTTGTTTTATTTTCTTCTTTTTGGAAAATTGATTGTGCGACAATTTAATATTATTATATTATTTTTATGTAAAGTTTGAACATTATATAAATGCTAAATCAGCTCTGTAAAATTGCTTTTTGCTTAGTCAACGAGCACAACAGTTGATATATACTACAGATAGCTATTAATCATACATATACATCATATACATATATATATATATATATAGATATCTACCATCTCGATCAGTGTGGCATTACGCAATTCGAAATAAGGCAGTTGTGTTCTCTGGGTTTTACAATGGAAAATGATTTTATATTTATTCATATTTTGTTGCATGTCGCATGCTCTATAGGAAAAAAAAACTGCACAATGATCTTAACTGATCTGGTTTTGGCATTAAGTACAATATGTATTACCGAAAAAAAAAACCAACCTTATACGGACTCTGAACTGTTTTTAGACTAAAAGTTTGCATTTTTTGTGATTTTTCATCTACATAATACTCACAAAAAGGGCTTACACAGTTCTTATGTCTACACAGTTCTCGGTTTAGAGTTCCGACTTATAGCTAATACGTCTGATCTTTATGTAAATAGTAGCTGGTACATTATGGAGTCCATTGTCAGTTCTCATATTCCACATGCTTCTTATTCGACTTCTTGTTGCTCTTGGCGTGTGGAACCTATTTTTGATGTCAGTAACCACGCAGTTGGTTCCTCCATTTTCTCCTTCGATTAGTCACCATCGCTGTCTGATAACACGCTCGCGTTTAACAAAGAATTATTTAAATACAAGATTGCTGTGTTTCTGTTATAGTTATTATATTTTTCTTCTTCTTCGCCTTCGGTTGTTGTTTCGAAGAAAATTGCACAAAATGCTTTTAATAGCCGTTGGTTGTGGTGGTTTTCCATCAGCAGGCCTGCAAAGCGAAAGAAATAAATCATTTTAATATATGCACATACAGTGGAGGCTCAATATAACGAACATATTTGGCAAATAAACAGCTTGTGAGCTGAGCAAACAGAGTCCTTAATCAGCCTAGTGAAAAATTAAGTTCACGACGTTCACCCACCGAGATGTTTTACTGTACATTTAATCAGTTGTTGTTGTTGTTGTTGTCCGTAGTTTAAGTGATGTACTAGAGCGTGGCCACAGCTAGAACTGGGGCCGGGCACTTGATATTGTTTAATACTTGAAATAAAAGAGAGCTGCGACACGAACGAACCTGGCCTGGCTGTCAGTGCAGCAGGCGGAGATCTTATCACCAAATGGCTGCATGGCATGAACGAAGTATGTAGACAAATGCGACTAATACTAATGCCACGAAACTTAATTGAACATTTCCACTAAACTCGGGTGTGGATCTTAAGCACACATACCCACACGTATACATAGCTACACCTGATGTTTGTCTCTGGGGTAGAGAGCATCGACCTCTCGAGTTTTGTGTGTCCGTCTTTTGAGACAAGGGAATCCAATTGTTTATCAAGTTTAACAACTCAACCCGCTGCTTATCGGGCAGAAAATTGTTTGCAATTTGGCGTCTTTGCTCGTGCCCTAAACTTAATTTTCACGAAAAGTTAATATAAATCAGATGCACTTAAAGATTAATGACTAAGACAAAGACTAGAAATTTTCCATAAGGATTGGTAACATGTATAATTTTTCCGCCACATTTCAATTATATCGATTTTGTTGAACTGAATGAAATATATTTTAGTTAAGCCTGAATTAAGTTGAATACTCTGCTGTCATTTGGCTACGCCTTGAACGGACAAACACAACATCTGTAAATGCAACAACAACAACGTCAACGAAACCACAGTAACCACCAACCAATGGTTGTCACCTTACGTCTGTGCTAAGTGTTAACGTTTCGAATTGCAATCAGCGTGATTCGCACATTAAATGTACCCAACAATAGCAGAAACCCAAATGGATGACTCAATCCATCCAAGTAGATCTCTGCTTGTGCAGCACCCCGCCGCTCCCTTTCCCAGTGATTCACTGTAGCAACGACTTACGTGCAGCGAATGTATCGAGTTTGTCTCATAGCCGCCCTTGCTCTGCATTTGAGTTGAGATCGCGTTCAGACGATTGGCGGACAGTTCCACATCGGCAGATCCAATGTGTCCGGTGTGCACGAAATTCGTAGGATTCCCGATCATGGAGCGATCGATTCGCAGGCGCTGATGGGGTCGGCGAGAAGGAGAGCGCTGCTGCTGGAAACAGCATGAGAACCATTGCAGCCAAATTTCGCCAGTAGATGCCATTTTTTGTGCTGCCTTTTTGGACGGCCGTTGCTCAGTCTTATAAAGGTTGTTGTTGTTATTGTTGTTGTTGCCGTAGGGTTTGACACTTCCGCTTCCGGCCAGGTTGAAGTCTTTGCGTTGGCGTGGAACACGCGCTTGCCTGGAAAATAACAATGAAGCAGAATCAAATTAGTTAAACAGTGAAAAGTGCCATGAAGATCTGGCAAAGATATAGGTTAGATTGGCTTTCATTCAATGTAAATACAAGTTAGATTTGGTTCGTTAGCAGAGCATTCACTGTACTTGAAATGTTCCTCTCGATCTGCTCCAATTGTTGCCATCTTTTCACCAGGCCACGCACAATCCGCACAACACCTTCAAATCAAGACGAAACTGTTGAAATGCAGAACACAATTCCAAATGAGACTGACTGTGCCTCCGAGGTTTGAAATAAAAGCAACAATTAATTGGCACTTTTGTGTAATTAAAATCGAAAGAAAGACACAAAGCGTAGACAAAAGAAAAGATTGTGAGCAGTATGGTAGCAGTAAAAAAAAAAAGAGATAGAGAAAAAAAAAACAACAACAACAATAGCTTAATAACAATAAAAGAAAAGAAACAACAGAAAAGACCTACTCCGGCACTGGCACAGGCAGTCGGCAAGCTGCATTTGCCTTTATCACTCACTCACTTATGAATATCATTTTGCGGTTTTCTTTGGCTGTTCTTTCACAATTCAGCTGAATCAATAAATGTGTGTGTGTGATTCATTTCGAAGGACAGACTTGCACTTCACAATTTATGCAAAATAAAATATATATTTTATTGAATACTTTCTGTGGTATTGTAAAACTTTAAAATAGCATCTTTGAAAGCTTTACAATACTGCTTGAATGTTCATTTCAAAATGAACTTTTCATTCCCTTACCACTTGTCAGAATACTGTAACTACATAACAGTCTGTATGAATGACAGACTGTCGAGCACTGTCGCCTGGCAGCAGGCAATTTCCTGGCCCACAAACTTCTTGGGCTTTCTTTAAAAAAAAACCTAACGCGTGTTAGTTGTTGTTACTTTTTTCTGTTTCTTATTTGCAGCCGGTGTTTTATGTTTCGTTTGCCTCTGCCATTTTCTTGGGCAATTAAAGCTGCTCGAGCGTCTTTAATGCGCAGTGAAAACGAAATGAAAGTGGTAGACGGAGACGGTTGACGAGCTGGAGCTGGAGTCGGAGCTTGAGCTGGAGCTAGTGTTGAATCTGAGTTCGTTTTAATAATGTGTGGGCCATTGCACACATACATACATACATACACATGTACAACCGCTATCTTTAAAATCGTAGCGCGTGTCACAACAACAGCACGTAACAATAGTAGTAGGAGAGATGGAGAAAAGAGAGTAAGAAAGGGGGAGAGAGAGAGAGAGAGACATCTACAGGAACTGAAGCCGCTAAAGCGTTTCAATTTTTGTGTGTCAAAAGGTTATTAAAGTATGAAATGCTAAAGAGATAAAGATAAAAGCACACACACACAATCATACACATTAGAGCACAATTGCATGTGTGTTAGCTCATGCTCAGTCGCTTTTGTTTTCCACGTCAGTCGGCGTTATTAATAAGCTGGAAATCGAGTCGCTACTTTTATCGAGCTGAAAACGAAAGCTCAGACACCGCTAATTATCAATAAAGCACACGCACTTATGCACTAAACATGTGCGAGAGAGCAAGCGATGGGTAAGAGAGCTGTTAGGAGAGGAAAACAGCATGCAAATTACTTTGCAATAATATATGTACAATAAACCAATAAAAATTGCCAATGAGCGTGTAGCTTATACTGGCAAATGTTTATACATATGTATTTGTATTTTGTATTTTTGTACACGCTGACATCATCAGATCAGTAAAAGCAAGGCGAGGTTATTCGAACTCGAAAAATATACATATGTATGTACATACGTATGTATGTATATAACATAAAAATATATTTGACAGTAATTACGTTAAAATACATACACCACAAAAGCCGCTTAAATGTTTGTAAATACCCATTAATAAATATATGTATGTACACATATCTAAAATGGATTTAGTTGAGGTAACGGTTCACTATTGGAAACTGTTATTTGTAGCCATTTCTAGAACTTAAGCGATTTGCCAGAAAGTCAACAAACTTTGCTGCTCAGTTAAAAATACTATCCAACTTCAAACTGTGTAGAAAGGGACGTGAAATTAAATATGTGTATGTATGTACATTTATGTACATATGTATGTATGTATCTTCAACAGCATCAATTTAGCTGCACAGTGGAGCAACGCGATCCAAAATTAACCCGCATAAGCCGCCATATTACGCCTGAGTGGGGGAAGCAGTTTTATAGGTTTTTCTGTTTCTTTTTTTTCGACTAGACCTAATCGCATTTGGCAATTTGAATGTGGCCCACATAACGCCCGAAGACAATTCACACGCGTCAAAGACATAAACAGCATTAATAAAGACGTTTATTTTGCACAACGGAAATGAAAAATGGTTGACAGTGACTGCAATCCCAAATTATGTGTACACGATACCAAAATATTACATCATTTCATTTGGTGTGCTTTGGCGTTGGGCAAGCAGCAAGAAGTGAAAAGAAAGGAAGGGCATTAAGTATGCACGATACAACCAGTTTTGCGTGCATATAAAAACGAGTCGCTGGGCCCAAGGTTCAAGAAACTGATAAAAAAATGACAACAATCAGCGCTTAATTCGATAGCTCAAATCAATATTGCTATTGTTTCCTATTTAAAGCCACAAAAGATAAAAGAACGGTACGCAGTTTGGTTTTACAATTTATTTACATACATACATATGTGGACATTACAGTTTTATGATATATTTGCGTCTGGTTTCACAATTATCACTAGAGAACATTCGCTGCACTCGACAATCATTTCACTTGCCCTCGGCTGCTGCTCTCTTTGTGACTCATCGTCCAGCAGCACGTATTGTCCGCCGCAGCGACAATCGTACGCATAGGCCGAGCTCCACTTTGCTGCTGCTGTTGTTGTCGACTCTTTGTCTGTGTCGATTTCATTCTCATTCTCATTCTCATTGTCCCCCTCCTCGTCGTCTTCAGCCATTTCGACTCGAGTGCTGTGCATGTCGCTTAGCGTTACGCTGGCATAGATATTGTTGTGCTTTTCAAACTTCGACTGCAATAATTCGGCATCATAGTGTTTACGCTTTATGGGATCTTTAAGCGTATTCCAGGCTTCGTTTATCGCATTGAAATTGTTGTCGCTCTCTTGATTTGGGTCGCTCTCGTTCGCGGTTACAGTTACAGCTACAGTTTTTTGTTGTTGTAATTTATCGGGATGACATTGTAGTATTAATTGCTTATAATTGCGCTTAAGCTCTTCAAATGTTGCCGTTGCGTTCGCATTAAGCAGTTCATAGAAGTTCAAGTTAGACATCTGCAAGATTAAATAAAATACAGCTCGTTTATATACATAAATACATTTAATACTTACATTTAGAATTAAATTATTTTCTTGTTGTTTCACATGTTTCTAGCGCGTCAAATCGTAACGTTTACCACCACTGGCAACAGCACTGAGCTGATCAGCTGTTCGTTTCTTTTATCGCTGAGACTCTGATTGGAATTTTATAAATCCTATAAAAAGCACTTTGCGTCCACAATATGCATACACGCACACGCATATATCAATACATATGCATACGAGAGTTAGGAGTCATCATTTTCCTTTGTGACCGAAGAGTGACACGAATAAAGAAAAGGAGTGTCTGTTGCTAGGCGTTGATACAATGAACACGCATTTAATTTCACAATATTGTATACATTAAAAAAAAAAAAGATTCCATTTTCTATTTTTGTTTTTGTTTCTATTTTTCTCTTTTTCCTTCGCATGTTAGCTGAACATAATTCAGCAAATCTCATTAATGCCGTTATGAAGCCAGCGTTCGTCTATTAAGTTGTCACTGGCAACACAAACCCAAACACAAACAAACACACACACTCAAATATACCAAATTTTGTTGCGAAAAAGTAGAACATTCAAATTGTCAAAAAGCAAGAGTCTAGCGACAATTGCACTTGGAGAGGAAACAAGGTTAACAAACTGGTTCGGCAACAACAAACCAACACAAATAAACCAAAAGACATGTGAGGTGAACGCTGAAAAGAAAAACAAGTAAATCGTCCGACGCATGCATTGACCCAATTTAAAAATTAGCAAAAGGAAAAAGTAAACCACAAGACGGATGAAAACTTGCGCCTCCGAAAATAGGGGGAAAGGCATAACGTCAAAAGATAGTTAAGCGGGTCAACTCAAGGGAGTGTGTGTGTGTGTGTGAAAGGGAAACAGAGAATGCACAAAGCTATATCAACAAATTTTTATTTATATAAATTGCATTTAATCAAATAGCAAGAATAATACTGCACTGTTATATCAAACAACATTGTCGGCATGTTAACACAAATAAAATTTGTATTCCACTGAGCAACCTGTCCCCGCCTTCCCCTCCGGAGCCTATATACTCATAATAAAATAAAGACTTGCCTTATAAGGTGTTGACTTTTCCTGTCGACAATCAAATCGTCGATGTTCTGCTAGTGCTGATGCAGACGTCGCTGCTTTGCTGTTGATCCCGTTGGTTTATTGCTTATTTGTTGATTTTTATTTTGGGGGCAAATTGAACAGAATAAGAGCACACACCTACACACGGACACAAGGCTCTTTACTTAGATCTTTGTGTGCTTAACACACTTTTTGCAAAAGCACACACACACGCACGCGTTACATTTGCATTAACATTGCCTGGTAGCACGTTTTCAATAAATATTTATTTATATTTTCGTCTCATTTAGTTTTATTGTAAGCAAATTGGCACCGCGAGAGCCGAACGATCCGCTTTGGCCGCCGTCTAAAATACACCTAAGAATAAATCTTCAAGCGGAGTGACCATACACAAAAAATAAAACGATACACCAAATTTAATAATCGATAATAAACGATTGCTATCAAAAGTGATTTCAAACCTGTATCAAGTAGCATTTGTTTCAATGCAACCGCTCAAAGCAACCCTGCCGTATGACGCTTGAGCTGTCAAAGCTGTTTCCGCTTTCTTTCCGTGCGGTTCTTAAACATGACTGGTTTAACGAATAGGGTAAGTGCCAGAATTTTGGCAAATAAAACTATGTTTGCGGGATGGGGCAATGTTACAAATGTGTGCAGAATACTCTTTAAACTGTGTGCTATGTATAAATGTGCATTATGTGGACTTAAACTGTGATGTAGCGTTGTGCTTCAGTTCATAAAAGTTGTGTTCGTGTACACGTGCCCAATCCCAGCCCAAAAATGGCAGGCACGGAAGTGCTACTTAAAATGGATATTTGCATGTGAGGAATCAGTGCTTTAAATTGTGTTGTTGACATCAAATGGACAAGTAAAGTTCAATTGCTATCTTTTTCTGAATCTGCACACATTTGTTTATGCCCTGTCGCTCAACATAACCTAATTTTTTGTTGTAATTGCTAACAAATTTGTTTTTCTTATAGACCGTTGTTATCGATGGACGCGGCCACTTGCTTGGCCGCCTGGCCTCCGTGGTAGCCAAGTACCTGTTGCAAGGCGGCAAGGTGGCTGTTGTGCGCTGTGAGGAGCTGAACCTTTCTGGCCACTTCTACAGAAACAAAATTAAGTTTTTGGCCTATTTGCGCAAACGCTGCAACGTTAACCCAGCGCGTGGTCCCTTCCACTTCCGTGCTCCATCCAGAATTTTCTACAAGGCTGTACGAGGTGCGTTCTTGTCATTAAGTTCTTTGTCAAGCATTACAGTTTGTTGTTGACCATGATGTGCAAAATTTATTACCTACATTATTTGAACGTAGAGAAAAACCGTGTAAACAAACCCGAACTGAGTGCAGACAAGTCTAATATTCGATAAACTATTTGTAAGCTTGAGCCCTTACTAATTATTGTTATTCTTATTGCAGGTACGTTCATACAGCATTAGCTGATCAGGTTCAACCCTTACCATGATGATTAATTATTCTTACCTACATTATTTGAACGAGAAATCGTGTAACCAACCAAGAACTGATTCTTACAGTCACTTTAATATCTATATAACCATTGAATATTTCGCTTATATATATTCTTTTGGCATTCCAGGCATGATCCCACACAAGACCAAGCGTGGCCAGGCTGCTCTCGCTCGTCTGCGTGTCTTCGATGGTATTCCATCGCCCTACGACAAGCGTCGCCGTGTTGTTGTGCCCATTGCTCTGCGCGTGTTGACCCTGCGTTCTGACCGTAAATACTGCCAGGTTGGACGTCTGTCGCACGAGGTGGGATGGCATTACCAGGATGTGATCAAGAGTTTGGAGCGCAAGCGCAAATCCAAGCTTCGTATCACCCTCAAGCACAACAGAGAGATGAAGAAGTTGACAGCGAAGGCGCGCGAGAACATTGCCAAGGCTGCTGAACCCTTCAACAAGATTATCAAGTCATATGGCTACGAGTCTTAAGCAGTGCCCACACAACAACAATACGAGCAGCATATTCGTAGCGGTTTTTTTAAAGAGAATAAAACAACATCTAAGTTTAAAAAAACAGTGCAATTTGTTTGATATTATAACAACAAAATATAAGAAAAATAATGCAACTTGTTTGTTACATTCCAAGCAGCTAGGTTCCGGAGTGACAAGTGGAAAGCTTTGTACAGCTGATTGGAGAAAGCTTTCGCAACAAAATCAGCTGTGCTTATAATGCTATCGTTCTAGCAAGTTATCGATATCACCGGCAATAGATCAGTTAACTCGCAACACGTAATGTCGACTTTCAAGGACAAAGTAATTATTGTGACCGGCGCCAGCTCTGGCATTGGAGCAGCGGCAGCTGTCCATCTAGCCAGTTTGGGCGGCCTGCTCACCATCGTTGGACGCAATGTGGACAAGCTAAAGGAGACAGCGGATAATATTCTGGCTGCCGGTGGCGCTGCTCCGCTGCAGCTGCAGGCGGACATGGACAAGGAAGCGGATGTGGAACAAATTGTTAAGGCTACGGTGGCCAAGCACGGACGTATCGATGTGCTGGTCAACAACGCGGGGATATTAGAAAGGGGCACCATTGAGAACACTTCCTTGGGTCAGTACGATCGCGTAATGAACACCAATGTGCGTGCTGTATACCAGCTAACCATGTTGGCTACACCAGAGTTGGTTAAGACCAAGGGCAACATTGTCAATGTGTCCAGCGTGAATGGCATACGCTCCTTTCCCGGCGTTTTGGCTTATAATATCTCTAAGGCAGCCCTGGACCAGTTCACACGCTGCGTCGCCCTGGAGCTGGCTGGCAAGGGCGTCCGCGTGAACTCCGTCAACCCTGGTGTGATTATCACGGAAATACACAAGCGTGGTGGTATGGACGAGACAGCCTATCAACAATTTCTAGAGCATTCGAGGACCACGCATGCCTTGGGTCGGCCCGGTGACGTAAAGGAAGTGGCCGCAGCCATTGCGTTTTTGGCCAGCGATGCTGCCAGTTTTACTACGGGAGTTACCCTGGCCGTAGATGGCGGCCGACACGCTATGTGTCCACGTTAAAATTGTATCTTAAAGCATGTATCTTTTGGCATTTATTAAAAATAGAAACAATACTCAGCATAAACAAGTCAATTAGCGACTTTAATCACGATTTAAATTTCGCACAAGTGAGCAAAAACAAAAATAGTGGTTTATTGACATAACTTGTTATCGGCTGAAATTAAATTCGAATTTCACAACTTTGAAATTGAATTTATCTAATTATGCAGTTGAATTCTTGCTACCTTTTGCGTGATCGGCAACACTGGCTCCGCTTATCGAACCAATTCTTATCGGCTTTCTGCCTGCTAACAACATCAATGTCAAATGGCCGAATCATTAGTGGTTGAGACACTAGTACAGCCAGTCGCATCACCCAGTGCAGCATAAATATGCCAAGTTTCAAAGATAAGGTAATCATAGTGACAGGTGCCAGCTCTGGCATTGGTGCAGCCACTGCCGTACACCTGGCCAGCCTGGGTGGCCTTTTGGTAATTGTGGGTCGCAATGTGGAGAAACTGAAGGAAACGGCCGATAATATACTGTCTGTGGGCGGTGCTCCGGCACTGCAGGTGCAAGCGGACATGGACAAAGAAGCGGACGTAGAGCAGATTATGGCAGCCACGTTGAAGCAGTACGGCAGACTGGACGTGCTGATCAACAATGCCGGCATCATCGAAATGGCCACCATTGAGACCACATCTCTGGCTCAGTACGATCGCGTGATGAACACCAATGTGCGCTCGGTGTACCAATTGACCATGTTAGCGACCCCGGAGCTAATCAAGACGAAGGGCAGTATTGTTAATGTGTCCAGTGTCTGTGGCCTGCGCGCCTTTCCCGGCGTGCTCGCCTACAACATGTCCAAGTCCGCCGTGGATCAATTCACGCGCTGTGTTGCCCTGGAGCTGGCCCCCAAGGGCGTGCGCGTTAACTCCGTCAATCCTGGTGTGATTATCACGGAGCTACAGAAACGTGGCGGACTCGATGATGAAGGCTATGCAAAGTTCCTGGAACGCGCCAAGGAAACGCATGCACTGGGTCGCGCCGGCAATGTCCAGGAGGTAGCTGCTGCAATTGCATTCCTCGCCAGCGATGATGCCAGCTTTACTACAGGCGTTAATCTGGCGGTTGACGGAGGCCGTCATGCTATGTGCCCACGATAAAAGCTAGAATGTAATGAAGAACATGTGAATAAAATGAAAAGCATTTATTAATACGCAGATGACTATCTAATTTGATTATATACTAATTCAATTGGAATCGATGCGATATACATTCCAATTAGGGCTGGTTAAAATAAAAGTTTTTCTGGGAAAAACTTAGAATTAGAGTGTAAATTCCTATTAGGCATAAGCTAGCTTGGCAGTTTATCCGATCGGGGGCTCCTCTAGTTAACGGGATACTTTACTCGAAAACATCTTTATTTGACAGTCACATGATAAATGCATAAATTCTGAATTTCGCTCCATTGATTGAATATGTTTAACGCGGGCACATGGCATGGCGACCGCCATCGACAGCCAGGCTGAGACCCGTCGTGAAGCTAGCCAAATCACTGGCCAAAAAAGCTATGGCATTTGCCACCTCTTCTGTGGTGCCTGGTCGACCCAAGGCATGTGTGGTTTTCGAGTGCTCCAGGAACTTCTGGTACGTTGCCTCATCCATGCCGCCGCGCTTGTGGAGATTTGTGACCGTTACGCCGGGATTCACGCAATTAGCACGCACACCTTTGGCAGCCAGCTCCAGGGCAACGCAGCGTGTCAGCTGATCAACGCCCATTTTCGAGATGTTGTAGGCCAGCACGCCGGGAAAGGAGCGAATCCCGTTCACACTGGATACATTGACAATATTTCCCTTGGTCTTGATCAACTCTGGCGTGGCGAGCATTGTCAGTTGGTAAATGGCACGTAAATTAGTGTTCATCACACGGTCATATTGCTCCAGGCTGGTGTTCTCAATGGTTCCCGACTCCAGAATGCCCGCATTGTTGATTAGCACATCTAACTTTCCATATTTCTGCAGTGTTTGCTTCCAAACTCGATCCGTATCCACTTCCTTGCTGATGTCTCCAACAACAAGCGTTGGTGCGGCGCCACCAACTGCACTGCACTGCTCCGCTACCTGCTTCAGATTCTCTGCATTGCGTCCATTGAGAGCTAAGCAAGCACCGTATTTGGCAAACTTCACTGCTGTGGCAGCGCCTATACCGGAACTGGCACCTGTGACGAGCACAACTTTGCCGGCGAAATTCATGACGTGAAGCGTAAGCTGTTGATTAGATTATGTAAGTACTTGATTGGCTTCAAATGCGCAGCTTTTATTTTCTATTCAGTTGTTTTGTTTTCGTTTGATAAGAGCGAGAGAGAAGGACGGTTCAAGATCGCAGATCAGCTGTTAGCATCGTTGCCACATAAATTATAGAACATTGATAACAACAGGCTGCCAGATCAAATAGTTGCCAGAAAAGCTGGTGGCAGCGTTGCCACTATTATGGCTTCACTCCGTTTGAAAATCTAAATAAAAATTCGTTTCAAAATTACTCGTACATATTTTGTATTTATTGAATTATGCAACTTGTTCATCACCTTTACATGCACATGCCGCTGCACATATTATTAATGTGCCAGCACGTCGTTAATACTATATATTATGTGTATTTTTTACAGCGCATTGATATATATCATTTCCTCTTATTTTAAATCTCAAACAACATAATGGATTTGCGTTTTTTTTTCTCTCAAGGGGTTTCAATTTGTTTTAAAGCGCATGTGTTAATGAATGCTACAGTTTTAGAAAAATATATAGTATATGTATACCGTTATATATGTCGGTATAGTAGCATAATATTCGATTACATGGACTGGGTACAAATGTTTGTATACAATTCTTTTGTTAATTTGTGTGTTAACAACTTTGTAATGGTATTTGTTCTCTTCTGTTTCTCAGCATCTTACATCTAAATAAATGTCATAGATGGAAGTAAAATTCATTTATAGTTCTTAGAGGCGGTATTGTCCCTACAAAGCGTGCTACAATATAAGATGCTTGAAATTTGTGTGGATCGCGTGTGTGGATAGAGGTGGACAAGGATGTGTCAAGGAAGGGCTAGGGGATCTCCTAAGCACACGCGCTCCTTTTAAATCTGACTATTGCTTTTCTAAGGCAAACACTCTCAGTGCAAGGCAAATGAAAATTCATATAAAGCTGTAATTCAAACAAAAAATTAGCTTATTTCTTTAATGCATAAATAGATTTTTTTCTGTTTTGTAATGATTTATGTTTTTTTTTTCTATGCTTTTAGTTTTAGTACTATTATGTAATACAGAATTTCAAGCTTAATACAATTATTACAAATTTTTTAATTTAAATTAAACTAACTTTAAACTTAAACAATTAATAAAGGCACGCATCGAGCGTACGCTGTTTTCATCTCTATTTTAGTTGTTGCCAAGTTTCTTTCTAATTTTCATCATTTTATAAAACACAACAAACAATTCAAAGTATGTGAGTGTGTTTGTGTATGGGGAAAAAGTATCATCTGATATTTAGCATGAAAATTAACTCGAATTTTCAGTAAATAACATATTAATATCATGAAACTTAAACAAAAGGCAGATTCGAAAGAAATTAGTAACATTTTGAGGAGAGGGGAGCGAACACCCATTAGTGAGGCGAGTGTGTGGATTTCAACTTTTGTGTGGAACTCATTTGCAGCTCGGCGCACTGTTACTGCTACTGTTGTTGTTGCTGGTGTTGTGTGTGTAAACTAAAAATCTAGAAGTAGTACAATATACATATATATGGATAGTTAGACATAGTGTTTGGGGCAACTCCTCCAGTTCAAAATAGACGACAGCTTAATAATTGAGATTTAATATGAAGTTCTCAATCAATTCACGAGAGCACACAACAAAAATTACAAAATGTAATGAGATAGTACGCGAATCGGTGAGTGAACATGCGACAAACATGCGTTCCACATGCCGTAATATGTGAGTGTTTCTATGTGTGTATGTGTATGTGTGAGAGAGCATGTATGTGTGCGCGTTAACAGCGTAAAATATATGTAGAAAATACATTCAGGCCGCAAAATAATCCACTCGGGTGAAGTTTAACTACTACCACCTTGTCCCTTATCATAGATAAGCTCCTCGCATATCTTTAGCAGATCCGCATTCTCCCTTGATTTTTGCTGCAGCTGCTCTGCTGTTGAAATGCGCGACACTTCCTCCTTTTTGAGTAAAGCTTTCAACTTTTTCATTTCATCCGCGTGCTCTTTTGTAAGAAGGGCCAGCTTTTTGTTGGCACTTCATAGATAATTAAGGGAGAGAGATAGAGAGAGGTGTGTTAATTTAACGAATAACTAGTTTTCGAAAACTTTACATACATTTCCATTTGCTGCATGGCATGGCTTTTCATTTGCTCATATCGTTGCTCCTGCTGTCGCAATTTATCCAGTGATCTCTTCTTCTCCTCCAGGAGGTTCTCCTCGATCTGCTTCAGGTGTGCGGTCATCTCCTTGCTCTTTTCGTACTTGCTATAATTATCAATTGATAACAATAAGATTAGTATATAGATATATAAAGAGTTCTTATTATTATTTTTTCTTACACATGGAGATCTGAGAATGTCGTTTCCAGCGACGTTAGGTGATGATAATTGGCATCACGATCTGCTTGCACTTCCTGCATTTGCCTTTCATGGTTTTGCACCAGCTGCTCCTTGTCATGTATAAGTTCTGCGATTGCTTTCTCGTAGGCCTCAATGACGCCGCTGTATTTGTGTGGATTGTAAGTTTAGTGTTTCTGTTTCAAGTCCAATATAATTCTGATATAACTCACTTGAGTTTTGCATTTATTTTATCCTTTTCTGTAATCCGTTTGACAAGAGCCTCTTCGCGCTGTTCGGCCTCTTTGAGTTTCTTTTCAATGTCCTCGGAGCGGGTGCTAAAAGACCATATTTCATATAATTTTTTGCATATTTGGGATTGTTACTACTTACACTTCATTTTTTATTTTCTTCTCAAGCTCATCCATATTGTGGTACTTGTGTGTTTTTTCCTCCGAGTTCAGACTGGTAAATGGAATAAAGTATATTACAAATGCATTCAACATGTTTAAACTGTTGCTTTACCCACCTTGAATTATCGAAGGTTTTGTTGCAATCGTTATCGATAACGTCCACACTCATTTTAGCATGTTTCTATGAGGAAGAGATACAATTTAATGTGTTATTAATAGAAATTCGTTACAGACAATTGGCATATACAACTCACTTTTGTTCTATCCACTGGCGGCTTGAAATCCTTTTGAGCTCCAGTGACTCCTTTGGCACTTGATTCGCTTGCGAATGAATGGTTGCTGCCGCTTGTTTCGTGCTCCTCCAAGGTAGGACTCAATGCCCGTGCTATATTATTGTTGTTGCTGAGTATGTTGAGCAATGCTTGCTCCTGTTGCGGCAACTGATTCACTGGCACCGGAGCACCCAAAAGTGGATCGAATTTCAAAAGCAAAGAGCTCCGATCGACGGGCGCATTGCTGCTGCCTTTTGTGTACAGATAATCGAAATCAGATGAATTGAGTATAACTTTGGATGTGAAACGTGTGTGTCGATCGTGTGTTTAAGTTATGAGTACATGCGCGTGCATTTTGTTGTTGTTCAATGAAAAAGAGAATAGATAAATACAAAAGTTAGATCACAAATGGAAATAGTACGTAAATAGAACATATTATATTATATCAGGTTTTAGGATCACTCTTTATAAATATATTCATGTATAGCGACTGGGCTATAAGTCGCATAGATAAAGCAAAAAAAAAAAAGGCACATGACAATTATTGGCGTAGAAAGTTGCTGAGACATAGGCGAATTATTAATGTGCTACGGTACAATTTCTAAATGAATCAGTTTACCACAAATATTTTGAAATATATGAAGATAAGATATGCCTAAACTTGTTAAAAAAATTTATATATTCCTGATAATTTGATATATTGTTGTTATTTATTTGTTTTACATAATGCTTCTCTGTGTGAATGCTCCCCAATATTTGCGTATGTGCAGCGCATAATGCCCAGCAAGCATCTGAAATCTTTTGTCTCTTGTTCTTTGTGCTTCACCTTTGCAAACAAAAGCGGAAGGGAAATGACGAGAACGAATGCGACATTATTTAAATAAGATGCAGAATGACTCAAAGTGTGCCCTGCCCTTTAGGGTGGTTGCCCCTCTCCCACCCGCAGTCCTAATGTAAGGTGTGTCGCATTATATCGGCCAACATGCGCCGCAACATAAACAAATGTCAATTGGAAGCAGCTTTAAAAATAGTAAGAAGCGAAACCCGGGCAGGCCTAGATAAACACAGATACAGCGATTGCGAATAGAGAATGCGGGTCACTCAACTTCCAAAGGGTGCAAAGCAAAACAAAACAACTAGAATATAAGCATAATTTCTGCCAAATTCATTTCGCGAACAAAACAAAAACCGAAGCCGCAATTACGGCCTGTGAGTCATTTTCTGCAAGCGTAGTATGAAGGCCCAAGGGAAGTGGGTTGAGTTTTGTTCTTCTTGTTTTTGTATGACGGACCAATTGACAAACTGCTGCATTGACAAGACACAGAGCAAGAAGAGAGCGAGCGTAAAAGAGAGAGCGAGAGAGTGCTCAGAGAGCTGGCGCATGAGAAAGCACTCGCGCAAAATCTTTTTACAATGCGCCACATTTTTAATTGCGTGTGTCCGTCCATTTTATTACATATTTTGCATTTGCAAGATTTTTTACAGTTATTAAAATACTCAATGTTAATCGTAACCACGCAGCGCCCACACACGCACGCACATACAACCACACACAATGCCAAGCACTTGCACACGCACACACACATACACTCGAACGCACATACACAGTAAATTGTTACGCTCTCGCTCTCAGTGGAAAAAAATACAACTTTTTACTTAAGTCTACGTCCTCAGCTTGTGGCTTTATTTATGCTTTTTTCCTTTTTGTTTCTTTCGCATTTTGTCATTGACACTTTTCTGTAACTGCGCGAGTTATTGTTGTTTTTATTGAAGTGTGGCCAGCTGGTTAGCGTATGGTTAAATTTTCACAAATTTCACTGAGAAAACATAGAGCAAACATATTCCAAACATAGCCAATACAATAAATATTTGTTTTTTATGTTAAAAATTTTCAATTACATTTACTTTTTAACGATTATTCCACAAAAAAGAAAGAGGCGTATACGTTTTTTTTTTTTTTGTTCACCGACTGTGCGACGCGGGAAGAGGCTGTGGCGACAACGTCAAATGTTGAAAACTAACTGAAATGGAATGCTAATATGCTTACTTTTCTCCTATGCCAATAAGAAAACCAGCGCACGCAGGCACACACACATACACGCACACATTGACACAAACTGAGTCAGAGAGCCACGGAGAGCCGCTAGTCAAGTTGGATTCTGACTGGAGTGTCTGACAGTGACGCGTATGCAATGAGCAAGTGCGCTAGCGTCGAGAGAGAGAGAGAGAGAAGAGTGCGCGCCATGCCATATGATGAGAGTAAAATAATATGAATGTGTTGAGTGTGTTGTGTACACGTTGTAGGTTCTGGGGCTGCCTTGCTGACTAGCGTAGTAAAAGTGCATGGGCAAGTTCTATACAAGATTCTCATGCTTAGTGTGTTTATACGTGGGAGAGTGAGACAGACAATGTGCGGGAGCAATGAGCTATAAAGAAACTATAACTATTTAGAAATATGCACCGACAAATTTCATCTTTCTGTTTGCAATATTTTCTCAAATATTTTTGATTCACTTTAGTTCAGTGTTAGCTGGGGCATACTGTATTTCTCACGCCCCTTTTTCAACTTCAATGTGAGATACATTCTATCGATATGCACTTTGTGTTCATGAAGCAGAGCTGCATTTTCTTATTCAGCGATAACGATAACTGCGCACAATTCGAAAATAAGTTCATCAATGCTAAATTAATTAAGCGTAAACCTCAATATAGACAGACAAAACTCATTAAATGGCATTACTTTGCTTGTATGAGCAATTTTCTTATTAGGCAACGCCTTTCTTTAATTACTCAAAAATATAAATGCGCTCATCGACGACACATACTAACAGACGACAGTCCATCAATTGCTAGCGTGACGTCACAGTGGAGACAAAATTGTTGCGGTGATTACGACATGCTGATAAGGGTTCGACTGCGCAGAGAGCGCGAGAGTGTCAATAAGAGAGTTGCTGGATTGGGAGTGCGAGGGCGCAAGGCAAAAACGTGCACACTATTTCATTCCTAAAGTATTAGTGTGTGTGTGTGAGTGAATGGATGACCAAAGGGGCAATGCGGCATTTCGAAACACAGCGGCTGCATTAAAATGCAGGAAAAAACAACAAAACCCTGCAGACAGCTGTGGTGCAGTCAAAAATTATGCGCTTAATTGACGGCACATTGTTGTTGTAGCTTCCCTTCCTGTTGGCATGCAGTTATGTTATGGAACTGAAGTTCAGGTTCATTGCCTTGCATGTTGTGATTTATTTTTATAGCTAGACGCGGCTGCCTGGGCATGCGGGCAGCGGTACATGCAAATGAAGAAACCTCGGCCCCCGGCATTCCAAGTTCAAATGCCGAAGTCGAGGTGGCAACCCCGTCTCCCACGCATTGGCAGCTGATGAGCTAAGGTCACGAACGTAACGGTAGTGTATTACCTCTAGGAATGTTGGCATGAGGGGGAGCAGAATTATTCTATGAGTTTTGTATTTAAAGATGAGTGCGTGATGTGATAGGAATACGATTTTATATACATACATATGTACATATATCTATATTAATTCATATGGCATACCATTAGTAACGAGTTCATCTCTAATGAATATGAGGGAATATTACTAGCCCAGATGCAATGTTAATATTATAGAAAGGCGCGTTACTCACTATTATTATTGCTGGCACCATCTTGGAAGTCAGCATCATAGAATTGTTCCTGTTCGGGTACGCTGGCTGGGATGGACGCTTTCCTGTTGGCCTTGGCGAAGGTGCTGATGCATTGCGGCTGCTTGAAGAGCTCGTCTGAAATGGGAGACATGGCACCAAAGTGCTCTACATATACATCTTCTTTTTCGTCTCCGGCACTGAGCTGCTCTTTCATAGACAGCATCTGCTCGTCGAGCACAACCGTTGCGTTGGCTGGTATATCCTTATGTATGGACGGACGTTTCAGCTGAGCAGGCAGCGGCGGAGATGAACGGTGTTCCTGTTCCAACTTCATTTGCCGCTGGGCATGCTGCTGTGCGGGCAGAGGCGGCGACGCCGGTGCCGACGGCAGTGTCACAGCTTGGGCCTCGGCCAGCTGGGAGGCAAAATCGCCAGATTTCGTAGTCTGTTCTAAATTAGTATTGCCACGTAGCGACATATCTACATCCATGGGCTCAAATTCATCAGACATGATGTTCTCCTCGGTGGCCTCCATTGCAGGCGATGCGTCCTGTTCCAGGTTAAAGGTTTTTCGCATGCCCGGCTGCTCCAACTGCTGTATATTGTTTTGCATGGAGAAGGTGCGTCGCTGCTCCGCCGGAGCTGCTTGCAGTGGCATTCCATAAGTGGAATTTAATTGATTGTCTTCTTCGTTGACTTGGGCTGCAGCGGAGTTGCTTTGACGATTAGGTATCTCCTGGTGCTCGACTGGCTGATCTAATACCACTGAGAATGTACGGCGCTGCCGCTCCAAGCTTGCATCGAGCGGTACGCCAAATGTGCGACGTTCAGAACGTTCAGCATCCGCATCAAACGACTCCACATTATTACTGTCGAAGGTGCCATTAAGTGGTGAGCCTCCACCCAAAGGAATAGTTGTGTTCAGCTGCTGATCCTGTTGCGGCTTCTCTGGACTGGGCTTCGTTACCGTCAATTGTACGGGTAACGGCGATTTGGCTATGACGCCGGCTAGGCACTCCCTCTGCTCAATGGCTGGCTCGAGGTAGGGCATCTCATCCCGCTCTGCTGGTGCACGCGGCGAGCGTGGAAAGTGAGTTGGCGACTCTTCGGGTGACTTGACTGGGAAGGTGGGAGATACAGGCGCTGAAGAAGGTCCTTGCGAAGAGTCGCTTATATTTAGTTCTAGCGTTGGGAATAACTTTGGTTTGGGCACCACAGAAGCAATGGGTATGGCCATTGAAGATTGCAAACTTTCCTTTTTTATGGGCGAGCTACTATTCTTAGAAGCTAAATCATTTTCTGACTGCTCCGTTTCCTCTGGCGGCTGAGCGTATCCCTGCAGAGTCATCAGTTCCTCCAACTCTTTAGCTGTCTTAGCACGATGTGTGGGTATGGGCGGCGATAAGGGTAGCGATTCCACTGGTGGCACTGGCATAGAAGAGGATTTGGCAACTGGAGCGGATTCTGGTATGGGCTCCTCCACTAATTGGTCCTCCACTTGAGACATTGCAGAAGGAACTGGCGACACAGCTGATGGCGCTGCTTGCAATGTGGCCAATGGCGGCGAAGGAGAAACTGGAGCTGGTTGTTCTATTAATTTTTCCAGCGTTTGATCATTATGTACAGCTTTATGCTCAATTTCAGCTATGGATTGAGTGTCTGGAACTAAAACTGTTTGCACAGGCTCCTCCGTTTTTTTTGACATGTGCTGTACTGATAAACGTGGGGAAATTGAAATGGGATCTGGTTTTGGCAAAACCTGTTCCAGCTCCGTGTTCTGTTCTTGCTTTGACTGCTGCAGATCCGCCACCTTATGCTGCTCTTGATATTCCTCCCCCTTGTGGTGCACCTCTGGTTGTGCCATTTGCTGTTGCTGATGATTTTGCATTTGCTGTACTGCGCCTCCTAGGAACTGTTGCTGCAGCAGCTCATGATCCTCTGGTGCCAGCACATCCTTCAGCATTTCCATTGTTTCATTTATATCATCCACATCCATGGGCTCGCAACTATCGTTATGAGCAGTACTCGCCTCGCTAAGCGTATTTTCCAGCGTTGTGGCCGTCGCATTGGACAACTGTTGTTCCAGCACTTCATTTAAGGCGCTCGAGTAAGCTTCCAACTCAGACTGATCCGCCGAAAGCTTGACGCTATTCAGCGAGAGGCACTCGGCATAGACATCCGAATCGGAATTGTAATCGTGATCGCTCAACTTAACTGTCGTGGAGCTGAGCGTGGGAGCACCACTTACATCCGCCTTCAATTCGGCTGTGGGAACAAAGAGTATAAATTGTAATAGGAAGCACACTCATTATTTGGCTAGCCCACTCACCTTCCAGGTCGGCACTGAGTGGCGCCAGTTCAGGAATTTGAGTCTCGTCGAACTCGGGCAGACCTGTTAACTTAAGCAAGGGCTGTTCCAAATCCTTGTTTGGCGTATCCGGCTGTGGTGTGGAACGCATTGCCGCGACGAGTGCCTTCTGCTGTTCCAGGCTGTGCCTTGTCGTTGAGGGCTTCATAGCCAGCGGACTCAGCTGTAGCACAAACGACAAAAATAATACAATTAGTAAATAGTTGAATCTTTAAATTAAAATTAATAATAATATATTCAACATTTTGCGCATCGCGTGTGGAATGAATCTGTGAGAGACTTTTGCAAAGCTCAAGAAAAATTATGAAAAATAAATAAATTAACAGAGAGAGCAGACGTAGTCCAAGCAATTGGCAGCCAAAACGTAAACAAGCTGAAGACTAAGTAAAAATAAAGACAGAGAAGATTATCATCTTTATGATCATTATGATGTCGCTGGCGATATTCATGGGCGACAGCAGAAGCAGCTGCCCCCTAGAGCCGTTGACATGCCCCACATTTGGTAGCTTAGCTGGTTACCAAAATAGGACACAATCCGGGCGAATCTAGGTAAATGGCAAAGGGTGCCCTACGGGAAAGCCCATATATACGAGATTATAATCCAATTGGAATGCGAATTCCAATATAATATATAGCCGACTAGAATGGCGTATTTATTTAATGTTCTGTTAATTTCAAGGTGTATGAACCTATTTAAATTTATTTTAAGCTCGCGTTCCACATCATCCACACACACACACATGTTTAACGCATTGGTGCCTAAGTTACTTTCTAAGGCATGCATACTATTGACACCCATATAAAATGCCGTAAGCAACCCATATAATGCTACCCATAGCTGACCAAGTTAGGGGCAGTGACACACCTACTTCCACACACGCACCCAGATACATACACACATACGCACACACACAAATATATACAGTACCCATCGTTGCCCGGCCCGACAAGCAAATGTCATTAATTTTAAAAGCAGCCAGAATAATGTTCTGGCGCTTGCTTTGGGGCATTGTAAGGGTGGACGGAGGTGTACAGCGGCTGGGGTAAGTGGGTCGCATGGCGGCATCTGTTCGTTGGCGCTTTGCGAAAACAAAATAAAATTAATAGAAATTAAATCTGTGGCGTGTGGCGATGTCTGCCTCCAATTGCAGGCGGCGCGATGTTCCGCTGTTGGAAGGCCTTGTGGGTCGTCAAATGCAAGCGCAATTTAATTAGAGCAATTGCAAGCGACAAGGTTAAAGTCAGATCGGGCGATAGAAGGGAGCAGGAGGCAGCCAGTCAGGTGACTTGTAACTGGGGTGCGCCTGGGCATTGGCAAATTCGTGCTTTGCTCTGAGCGAATTATACAAATGGGCAATCGCAATTTGTACAAGTGGAACGCACAAACAACATGAATAGAGTCCACATACAGTGGAATGTATATAATGTATATGAATTTGCATTTTGCATTATTTGCTGATTTCATTTATTTCTTCAGTGACCCACCAATCCTTACCCTATAGCGAAGGTCAAGCCAAGTTTTACCCAAACACAATCCACACACATACCTCTAGGCTCATTGCCTGCAAATGCTCCATTTCACGTGCGCTCACTTGATCCAAATTGAAATTAATCTCATTGAGCAGCTGTTTGATGGTATCATTGCTATTGGTTGGCTCGTTAGTTGACTCTGAGCCTGAGACAGGCGCCGCCTCCACGTGCTCGATCAATTTATTGTGTTGCTGCTCTAGGCTATCCAACTCCTGGGCAGCCGAATCAAACAGATTCTCCAGATCCGTATCAAGGGAGCAGCGATTCATGGCTAAGGTAATCAGCGATGTAGGACTAGGTGAAGTGTGCCTAGAGCTAAGCTCAGCTGTGGGAGCACTCGAATTGCAGCTTGGATCGGTCTCCCTATCTGGTTTCTTTGCGTCGGCGGCAGCCACTGAATTTGAATCGGGCACAGCAATGCTGTGAGGTCGTTTAATGAGATTCGATAGGAAATCCATTTGTGTGAAAATGTTTTCCTTACGCGTAAGTTATCTCTCCACGCACGATTTGCTTCGCACGAACTACGGTTCACTGCGCGTGCCACAGACAGTAAACAATCAACGTTTCCTCTTATTATATATATACAAATATATTTTTATATTTGTGTAATATCAGTATCTTGGAGTTCCACTATTGCCGCCTACTATTCGAAAAACTATTTGATTTTTCTGCACTCATCATTAAATAATAGATCCGATTTGGATGCGTAGTCCGCTCTCGTTTGTCTTGTCTTTCACGTTTCGTGTCGTTGTTTGAAATCAATTTAAAAATATTTTTTCGTTTCAATTTGCCTTGCGACGGCGCCATGTGTGTGTGTATGTGTACGTGTATGTGCATAGGTGTATGTGAGAGAGTGAGATAGAGAGGGAGAGCCGCATCGCTGCTTATTCGAATGACATCCACAAAACGATCTCAACGTTTACACTCTGCGCAACCCTCAAAGGTATTCGTTCTCTCTCTCTCTCTCTCTCTTATTCACTTTCTCAAACGATCAGTTAATCTCTAATAAACAAGGTTTATTTTTAAATCTCAGCTGATCTTAGAATATGATGATAAGTGATCTATGTTGGGTAGTTCTCAAGGATCTTATGTACCGCAACTGCGTGAGCTGATATTATATATTCAAATTCGTTTAATATTTAATTGATTTTAAACTCAAGATCTACTGATCAAATGAAATGATCTGATCAGATGTAATAGCATTTTTAGTTCACTGATCATCAATATTTGTTTAAGCTTAAATGATCCATTTGTGTGCAATTAATATCAGTGATCGTTAGATTTGGCTTATTTCTGTTGATTAAAGAGTATTTGAGCAGTTATGATCATCAACTTATGTTCACTTTCCACACACTGATGCAATTACAGCTCAATTAATAAGTTAATCTTCTAATCTCCTTCGATCTTTGGGTAATCACTTAACTCGCATCGTGTGGGTGCTCGGCAGATGCAATTCAATTAGTTAATTGAAGTTTTAGTCAATTTATTGATCGTACCGCAGTCGAGTGGGGCAGCACAATGCGACCGTCTTTGAGGCGCAACCGACGCCAACTAACCCATAAAATGCAAAACGAACAAATGCAACCACAAACAAGCTGAGCGCAGGAGAGAAGAGCACTTGGCGAGAGGCAAGAGAAGAGGGCACAATAATAGGGCAATGCTGCTTGGGCTAATGAAAGAAAGCTACGTTCGGTGGGCCCGTGTTAGGGGAAGCACCCTGTATATGCGCCATGTGGATGCCAAGTGACAGCCGTAAGAGACATGCAATCCCGCAGCGTCCATTGTTGCGCATCGTGCACTTGAGGAAGTGCTCCACATAGCCACCACCTGGGCTCCCCTTCACGTAGCCACGTCGAATAGCTGCTGATTTTGCATATTTTGAGAGAAACCAAATATCACACAATGAGCCATGACGAGCCAGAGTAGAAGCTGCTGGCAATGCGTGACAGGTGACACGACATGATATAGCCATAGATACTATGCCCAGTTAGCAGTACCCATTTCACAGTTGCAGTTGCAGTCGCAGTTCTAGTTCCACAGTTGCACAGTTGCAGCTGCAGTGCATTTAAGTGCAACATTAGACAGCAACACAGCCAAGCTATAAACTATAAACAACCAACAGTGGCCATGCACTATGTGATAATGACTGCGGTATACCCTGTAATTAGCTAACACAAACTCACAACAAAATTATATCATAAATAAATAATAAATCGGGTTATGATTCATTAAATTAACCTATAATATTATGATCTTAAAAGTATATAATCGATAATTCTCTCACTAAGCGCAATATAGAACAATGTATATAAATAACAAAATATTTTAGCTGCAGATCTTACCGTCTGTGTAATAACCTAATTAGAAAATTAGTTTATAATAAAATAAATATTTATTTTTGAAATTCGATAGAACCACTGCAGTAGGAGTTTAGTTTTTGTACTCAAGTAAAGGGTATCAAAACATAACCAAATGCAATAGGCAAACAAGTCAACGAGACGCCAAAAGGCATATGGAAGAAGAACAAACAGACCAGGGCAGGGTGAAGGCAATCTGAACCTAGCCTATAAATAGACGAAAACAAATGCAGACAGCAGCATTTCATGTGGGGGAGGCGACAATAATCATCTTTAGCGAGTTGTCAATGAACTTTGCTATGCCCGGAAAGTTACCCCAAAAAGATGCATCTACAATGCGGCCGTGGAATGGAAACCGAATCCAAATGTCATAAAACGCCGACTGATTCCAGGAAACAATCATAAAGCATGTGCTTCGACTAGGCTGCATTTAAAACAGACTCTGACGTGGTAAATAAATATTTCAATACATAATATATATACATATATAGAAACATTATAATTTTTGTTGTTTCTTCTTGGCACATCTGGACGTTGTCCGGCATAAACAATTGAACATGTCAAGTGCAGATGGCAAATTACCGTTTTAACGGTCACAAAGCCGTATATGTAGATATAATGAATATATGTATGTATATAATTTTGGAATTTGCGCACTTTGTCTACCGCATCCAGCGTTGCGGACTCCTTGGACTTCAAGTGTTTGCCCGACTTGTTGCCCATTTGGGAACGGGGTATATATGTATATATTACGAGTTACTCCACGTCCGATCGCCGCGACTTGTAGAACGCACTGAACGTCAACATCGGACAGCAGTGGCAATAGCGACAGCAAGCCATAATAATAAGTAAAAGTGATCTAGCCGAGAGTTGACAGACTGGCATATACCCTGGCAAAAACCTGCCAAAAGTTATGGTCTCTTGTAATCACAGAAATTTGAGAGACCAACACTAAGCATACCACGTAGTTCGGATTTTTGTCTAATTACATATTCTATTAACATATTCGAATTTAAAACTGTATAATTAAGATATATATAAACTTATAGTTAGCCTGTTACATACATTTCTATAATTCATACATCCCATTTTTATTAAATCATCAGCGGCATATTGACATATTTGAAGAGATTAGAAATATATTATAGATTTCTGATAAGCCTGCTAAATTCAAGCCAAAATACCCTTTTCGTAGAATTATTCACAAGAATATATAAACAGGCGAAATGTAAAACATCAGGAGAAACAACGACATTCGCGGTTTGCAGCGAGCGTGCAGCGAGGAACCCATCGATCACCAAAATGCAACAGCAACGCCAAATAAAAGCAGAAAATGCAGAATGGGCGATCAGAACAAACAGAAACACACACAAACAAATTCGTATATGCAAGTATATGTATGCATCTGTTTATGTACTTATGTATGTATGTATATGGTTTATAAGTTTGTGTATTAGAAAGTGAATGCTAATTGTGTTTTCTTTTGCTTTTGCCAATTCCACCCGCCCAGTTGCCAGTAGTAACATAGCTCTAAAAAAGGGTGTATAACCGAAGAGAAATAATTATTAGTTTAAATAAGACAAAATAAGTATAAACAAATAATACTAATTTTAGCAAAACGCGATAGAAAACAATGCCGCTTCTATTTGAAGTCAGACGCCGACAGCTGTGAAGTTAACATTATCATGTTATTAACAGAGGCCATAGTTTATCTGTATGAAACTTTTGCCAATTGTGTAGCAAGATTAAGAATTATGATGCCTCCTGCAATAGTTAATATAATTAAAATGGACAAATTAGGAGTACATTCATATATATATATATATATATATATATATATATATATATATATATATA